TGTTACAGATACTTACTACTTTGGAAATGAAAACAGCTTATTACATTCCATTTCAGATACACATTGTTTGAAAAATATTTTGTGCTGTTTTTTAATCAGCTGTCACAGTCCACAAAGATGATTATCAAGATTGCTGTTAAAGAGAAAGTAACATGCTTTTAAGACAGTAGAAAATGGAAGCGCAGAGCATGCCTGGAAATGCAGGGTTTGATTGTTATAAATTGTTTATGAAATGCCATTCCTTATTTTCATCAAAGCTTTTCTTGCAGCAGACCTCATGTGTGCTTCAGCATGCAATTTTCCCTCTCCAGAGGGATGAGAATGTGCCGCAGTTTACTTTGCTTGGGTTACACTGCAGTGTCTTTTTTTTTTTTTTTTTAGGCAAGCACTAGAATATGTCTCTTTCCACTGTGCAACAGCTCCCACTGATCAGCGAAGAAAAATAAATATGCTGAGTGACAGAGCCTGCATGCTGTATCACATAGACAAAACCCAGTTGTGCTCTAAGAATGAAAGAAATTATAACATCCCCCAGTGAAAAAGATGTTGCTAATGCAGAGGTTTGTGAGCCATTAAACATTCCTACAATGCACATTTCAGATTAATTCTCCTAATGCCTTACTGAGCTAGATAAGCATTTCTGAATCTATACTATAGAATGAATATTGTAAGGATTTTCTATGTCCAAAAAAATCCCCTGCATTTTTAATAATACTTCATTATACATATTTTATATATATATATATATATATATATATATATATCTCACTGTCTGCTGTGCAAACGACACAGATTCTTTCATAAGTGATTCTTTTAGAAAGCTAGAAAGCTGTTTCAGGGATGAGGATTGGGATTAGATGAATAATACCTATTAAGAGAAGTAAACCTAAAGCCATTTGAGGAACTCCCCACTGCATCAAAACCATTCAGCTGCAGTTTAGTAAGCTCAGATGAGCATGGCAGTTCTCAGCTGACGTGAGGTATCAGGTCTGGATATAGGTCCACATGTCTTACAGGTACAGGAGTGAAATCCAAGAAGCTGCTGTTTCAGTCACTGAAGCACTGACAGTGAGCCTACCTTCCCACAACCAGAACCGTTCTCAGGCTGTAAGAAGCACAAACCCCGCGCACTCCGGGCAGGGCCGGGCTCCCGCGGTGCCTGAGCCCGCAGCCGGAGCTCGCAGGGGCCGCCCGTGGCTCGGAGCCGGCTGGGCAGGCACGCCCGGCTCCTGCCCTCCGTCCCATCGCTCCGGAGCAGCCGGGAGATGCTCCCACCGCCCCCAGCAACTCTAATTCCTGCCTGAAACTCCAACTACCCCCGAACATATCAAGGCCTCTTTATGAAGACAAGCGAGACAGCAATATCCTACCTATTCCCCCTACTATCGTCTCACTTTTTCATTTTTACAAGTGACTTCCTATGATGGATTCGGGACTAATCTTGTCCTTAGAAGTTACAAGGTTGAGCCAGGTCAGGATCTGAAAAATCCCAGAATTGTTTCACCTTTATGTCCCCGTACAGGTTTGGTGAATAGTTGAGGTGTTTTTGGAGGGTGGGGAAGGGGAGCTGGATGTTGAAGACACCTTCAGGAAGTAAAATACACCGACATTCCTGGGTTAGTAAGAGAGAGCTCATTTCTTAGGCAACTTTAAGGTAGTTTTCTTACTAATTTTTCCTTCTCTGTGAGCTGGGACAATATCAGAGTGCAGTGTCCTACTGCTCTAGGAATTTTGCTTAATGTTTTGCACAATGATATATGACTGACCCATTACCTGAAACCACTGTCTTATCAAAACTAAAACACAGATTTATTTCATACCTGCAGGTAAAGGATGAAGTCTGCAAGTCAACTGTGTCTTCCATAAGTTTTTTACCTTCAAGGTATACTGGAATAATTTCAAAGAAATACAGAAGTATCCAAATTTATTCAAATATATACACTCAGAATCCAAAAATATATTATGTTTTTTGTAAAGGTCTGAGATACTGCATTTAAGATACTAAAAATGGAGTGACTCCAGCTGCATTACTGGTTCAATAGTCATAACTTTAAAATAATAGAAATTGTATAGGGTGAACTGATTTTATAAATGAGCTTATATATTTCTGTGCACTACCAAATTTGTAGAAAAATTATTACATAAATAATTTATGCTTAGTCCACATAGAATTTTCAAGTTAACTACATACCTGTCCAGCACTGACTTAACTTTATTTTTTGAACAGCAATTTAAGAGTATAAAGTATAATATTTCTTTAAGTATTTATATTATTGCATTAATATGTAATTATTGTTAGCAACTGCCACATTAAAACACTAGCTATTCTGGACTGAAAAAAACCATTCATATTAATTTAATCAGGTATCCTTCAAAAGCACATAAAAGTTCAGGGCTTTTTCCTGTTAGTTATACTGGCCCAAGTGTACAGTGGCTATTCTTCACAAAAGAAATGAGAACACTCACATACACAAAAAAAAAAAAAAGGATTAATCACCCCAGGTCCAATGAACACACTATGTCCCTCATTCTGCCACCTGTGTGTAGCAACCCCTTGCCGGGGACCACGCCTGAGAGCCTCAGTAAAGGCATCAGCTGCCTGACGACGCTGTGACACAGCCCCTAAAACCTCTAATAGCTCTTGCTCCCTCCTCCTGGCAAGCATGGATTTCTTCAGAGGGAAAGGAATTAAAGCAACTCCGTTGTGCTCCCATGGGGTTATTCTGGTGACTGATCCTGGCTCCCCTATCCCAGAATGAAGGAGCAGCTGTGGAGCCATCCCACATTGGACTTGCCCAACAGAGAATACCACTAGAGCTCTTCCTGGACAGCTCAAAAATTTGGCAAAAAGACACACAGTTAAAATGCATTTTTTTTCTGAATTCTATAAAAACCCCTCTGGTCAGGACAACATCAGCATTTCATTTCATCTTGATGGTGACAAGTTGAGACTGAACTAAGTCATGAAGCAACACACGATCCACACATCTAAATCACCTCACTGCTGAATCAGCTCCCCCTTAATTTTACCAACCATTACTTGTTAATCTTTAAAAAATGCATGCAAAAAAAGACAAAGACTAAAATAATTACATAAAAAGGTTATCTTTATTCTTTTGGGTTGTTAGCAATGTAGTTATTTTTGGTAAAACAACTTCCTGCATGCAGTTCATCAGTACACTATGAGCCAATAATTTCCATAAAAGCAGGAGCCCATCAATATTCTAGTTCTTTTGTAAGAAATGCAAAGTGTTTCACTGTCCCTTGCACAAGTTCACTATTCATCCTCATGAAGGAAGATTTTTGAATAACAAATTATATCTAAAGTGTTTCTACTGCAGTGTGTACCAATAAGCAAAGCAGACAGTGTGAGATTAACTCTGGGGAAAAAGCAATGTTCCTATGACTAAGATCCATGAAAATCAATAGACAGGATTATAACATAAAAAAAAGCCTTCTATCTTGTTTCACATAAAAAGACCTACCTAAGGATAAGAAAAAAAATTTGTACTGTCCATTTGTTTTAAAATTATTCCTTATTAAAAGCTGTTCAAAGCAATTAGCAGAAATTTTCAATTACACATTGTATATTGTTTTTGAACAGTAAAGTGTCAAAGACAGACAGCAATAAATATTAATAACAACAGGAAAATGTGTAATTTCTTATAGTGAGTAAAAAATGGTATCAAATAAAACTATTTTAAAAATAAAAACAATAAATACATAATTTTTTTTCTAGCCCCATATTTTAAGCCATCTATTTGTCCTGTATAGTCCACTACTGTACTGCATATTTGCTGATTACAACACTCACACAAAATAAGATCTATAATAGCAGCAAAATATTGCTTACTGGTATGAGGAATGATGGTCTTGTCAAACAGTTTTTCTTTTTACAACTTACATCTCTTCCCATGTAAAACTTTTAACAGCTGTAGGATAATAGCAGCAAGCATGCATCAGTTAGAGCTTCCAATTATTTGAAGTATCACAGAATATATCATAATATCTACTGAAATGTTGTAAGCTAATTTACTAGGGTACATATTTGACACATATATGGTAATCAGGTCATTGTCTCCTTGTTCAAAAAGGTACCACTGTGTAAAACAACTGATTAAATAACAGAGGGTATTTTACTTACATGTATAGTGTCAGCCTGAATGCAAAAAAGTCATCTAAAAAAAAAAAGTCATCAGCAGGACAAAGCTGATTTCACTACATCTTTTTGGTCATCTCAGCTCTCTATGGAAGGTTACATTACAGTGGAAACCTGACTAAATTGCCAAGAGGGTGTCAAAACCACATGTTTCATGTACATAATTCGTGTTTCTATGATCCATCCTTCCAAAGTAGAGAAAATGAAATCTGAGGTATATATTAAGGTAGTATTTGTCCCCAAAAGTACTCTGCTATCAACTTATAGATTTGATTATTTACTAAGTGGGATACACTTATGAGAAATAAGTGTAGCAACAGACTTAGGAATAAATTATGGAAACTACTCATGATACTACAGGGTTAAAACATACCATTTAAATAAAAATTATAATTTCCTGTAGGCAGAATTTGCCATTTGTAGCTTTTCTGTGAAAACAATTGTTTGACTATTTCAGGAATTATTAGCTATCTTGTACTCTGAAAGTAAATTTTTTAATAGTTTCACAATTTTCCAAAGAGGAGTTCTATGCAGCATCATTTATTTAAACCACTTTCTCTGAAACAGAGAGTACAATAAATTAAAAATTACTAAAAGGTAATAAAAATAAATACACTAAACTTAAAAGACTAAGCTACCAACCTCTTTTCTGTGAGAATTATTCCCTTGTTTGATTTACGGACAAATTCTTTATCTGGACTCTCTTGGTTTTTTTATAGTTTGGTGTTTCTTCGATCTACACCCTGAGGTTTGATAATCTGGAATCCTGGTTTTTTGCATTTAGAAGTGGCTTGACGAGAACTATGTTCATATTATGTTGCCAGAATTATGTATTCCTGACATTTGTGTTCTCTGCACAGAAGAGCATCATTTAGTGTTTATCTAAATAAAGAGTATTTAGATTTTTTTTTTCTCAGCACAGCAGAATTAATAAAGCAGTATGTTATTAAAGCAAATGAAATCATTAACAAGAACTGACACACATGGAACAAAGATAAGAGATGAAATGTACACAGTGGATACACTTACTCCACAAAAATACAGGCTTACTAGGACCCATTAAGGGTTCCTATATTCCAAGCAGAAATTTTGTGTCTCCTCTCAATTAGTAACAGCTGATAATCAAAATTATTGTTCTGCAAGTTTGTCTTCCTATTACACACCAAGAGTTTACTAGTGATGGATCATTGTCTTGGACAGGCACTGACTGCAGTAGTGGGTAAATATGTAAAAACTTATAATTTTGGCATAATCCTCCAGTAAAAGTGCTACTGACAAAAACATTTTCAAGCTTGCAAACATTCATCATGGATAAAAGTGCCTTTTACTTTTTGTTTCCTCTTCTGTCTTTTCCTTTGTCTTCTTTTTCTGATTTGTCATCTTCATATTTTTCTTTTTCTGGTTTTGTTACACTATCATAAGAAGGTGGAGCTATGGTGGATGCAGACATATCCATTTTCTCTGGAGATGAGTTTTCACTCACCTTGCCAACAATCACATCCTTTTTGATAAGCTGATCACCCCCATCTTTCTGATACATAAATGAAAGCTTCTTCACTGACTGTCTTAGAAGATGACGTCTGTAAGCACGCTGAATGATAGTCGCAGAAACTTCTTCCTGTTTTCGTTTCAGTGTGGTTGTAATTGGTTCATAGGAAGCTTTGGAAGGATTGGATGCCATAAACCGATCTTCCATCTGTATTCTGAGGGCGTCCATCTCCCCACTTTCCCCCAAAACACGCTTTGTGAAAGCAAACAAGATGTCAAGGCAGTGAATTCTGTCACCGCTCACTACAGGTAGATCCATTGCAATAAGATGAACTGTGTTTGGTTTTGGTATATTAAGAGGAGGCTCAAGTGCTGCTGCAAAATCAGACAGTTTGCTACATTCTATGAATTGTGTTGCACCAGGATCATATTTTTCCCAAACCTCATAAAACATCTCAAAGTCATCCTCACCCAAGGGTTCAGCACTTTCTTCAGTAGCAACACTGAAGTTCTCCAAAATCACAGCAATGTACATGTTCACCACTACCAGAAAGGATATGATAATGTAGCTGACAAAGAAGAAAATCCCAACAGAGGGGTTGCCACAGTCACCTTTCACAGAGCTCCCTGGATGAGCCTTGTTAGGGTCACAGTCTGGCTCCCCACTGTTGAGAATTGGGGCGAGCAAACCGTCCCAGCCAGCGGACGTGGTGATCTGGAACAGGCAGATCATGCTGTTGCCAAACGTTTCAAAGTTGAACATGTCATCAATCCCAGCTTCCCTCTTGACATAGGCAAAGTTGGACATGCCAAATATGGCATAGATGAACATGACCAGGAAGAGCAGCAGCCCAATGTTGAACAAAGCAGGAAGAGACATCATCAAAGCAAAAAGCAGAGTGCGGATTCCCTTAGCGCCTTTAATGAGGCGCAGGATTCGACCGATTCTGGCAAGTCGAACAACTCTGAACAAAGTCGGTGACACAAAGTATTTCTCAATCACCTCAGCTAGAAACATACCTGTGAAAAATAAATTAAGAGAGTAAGTTTTTAACACAGATAGATTTTCCACAGGAAAGTATAAACACCCTCCCCTGCACTAGTCGTGGAATTAGTGGCAAATACAATTGGAGATTAATTTTATCTGTTACGGATAATTTTAGAATTTTCCCCAGCACTTTTAGAAAATAACCCCAAACCTAGAAGTATTACAACTGATACAGAATTATTAAGAAAGTTAGCCCTTTCAAGTATGCATTTTGTTTCCTAAATAATCAAGAGAAATTAAAAGTAACTCTTCTAATTTGTAGGACTTGACAGAGATAAAGCATTAAATATACAAAGAACTATGTTTAATTTTGAACATAAGAATTTCTCACCTATTATTGAAAGAATAACAACCACAAAATCAAAAATATTCCAGCCAATGGTGAAGTAATAGTAACGGAGTGAAAATATTTTGAAGACACATTCACCAGTGAAAAGGACAACAAAGACCAAATTAATCCAATATAAAATATTTTGCATCAGTTCAGTCTGGTCATCTGTTTCTATCATCATTGTGATCATGTTAAGACAGATTAGAACCATAATGATGATGTCAAATAGCTGCTGTGTTACAATATCAAACACCAGACCTTGCAATTTGTTCTGAGGGAAGAAAAAAGAAAAGGTTATAGTATTTTTATGTAATAAACATCTGTTTACTCCCTCCCATTTCATTCTTCCTCTCCCAAAATATACAACCAAGCAAAAGGCTCAAAAGTCTAAGAAAACCATCATTCAGTAACTTATATGCCAGTTCAAAGTTTTTCTCTCAAAACTCAACAAGCCTATATTTCTTCATGTTCTTTGATTCTCTGCTTCTTCAGGCATAAAAAATGTGAGAGATTTTTCCTGCAGAACAGACATGTACATTTCAATGCAGAATGAAGGGGTAACTCTAATTAGGGCGAAACCATTTTACAGTTAAAGGAGAAATTTTATTCTAATTGATGTACTGCTGGGATTTCTCTCCAAGTACAGATGACATAAGAACAGCGTAATTCTTACCACTGGTCGAGGTATAGGTTTTTGTGGTTTCTTGGATCCCAGCTTCTTCATTGCATTGTAGTATTTCTTTTGCTCTTCTGTCATGAAAATGTCTTGGCCTCCAAGGTAAATTAATAAAAGAAACCCCAAATCCGATTACAGCCAAGCCTTCATATCCATTAATTCACAGCATTGCAGAACATGGTTTGAATGAGCCCTTTAGTCATCCTTATACATTGTTACCGAAACCAAAACATAATAATTATTTCAAAGATTGTTAAAATATCTGATGAATCTTGAAGGAAAAATGAAAGAAATTATGGAGCAAAGAAAATCCCCAAAACTTCCGTCTATTTCTTATTTGAAAAAATACATAGCTGATTAATTCAATTAAATAAATTTTAAAAACTACACCTAATTTGCAAATACACATTTCATAGACACTTATAAATCTAGCATAATGAACTCCACATTGTAAATCCATCTACCAGAAATAAAAAAGTTTCAAAGATACAAAGATACACTGTGAGCATATATGCCTTCAGGTAAAACATACAAAGAAAAAGAAACTATTGTTTTTACTTTTCAGGATGTGCATTTTACCATTTGAGTATAGGTATCTCAGTTCAGGTGATATATGAGCAGTGTATATGAAGCTTGATCATCCCCCTACACTGTACCTATATCATCAAAAGCACTGGTTTACTTTGGGATTTCTTGTCTGAATAAAAGGATTTCTAGACTGGTGTAATACACACATGGAAACACTTATCAGAAATACAACTAATATTGCCAAGTGACTTGTTTTATTCCTTTCATGCATTTGTTTGTAATTGTATTCCAGGTATGCACGATATCAAAGCAGTGGCATAGGGAAATGAACTTCAGAGTCAGGGGTGATTCTGTGACTTTGTCCCACTGAATTTGTCAAATGTGGTGTCAATCTTACAGACAGAGTAATGATAAGTCTGAAGAAAGGTGTGTTTAACTTTCAGCTGTGTCTATATATTGACATGAAGATTTAGAAGTCAAAAGAGACCATCTTTAACAAACTCTCCTCATAAATCTAATATTCAAGTCAAATTAACTTCTTGGAGAGTAAGAGTTTTGGAAGAAAAACAAGAAGTTGATTTGATAATTATGCTGGAAATGTGCTGTGACTGTTGGAAGATTTCAGTCAGTGGGAAATAAATAAAAGAAGAGCACTGTAAAGAAAGTGGGAACGGCATGGGGATTTCTTCTGCTGTCTCACTGATGTAATGGCTATCATGAGAGAACGAGACATCCTTGTCTCAGTGCACTGTCCCTAGGGAGAATATAGGCCTCAAGGCAAGATAACTCGTAACGACCAGTTAGGAAATCAACAGTAGAACACTGCCTCCCTTACAGAACTAATGTAATGAAAGTAGGATGCACACAGGAACCACAGAAAAGCACAGTTTAACTACACAGAGTACTGTGTAGTTAAACAGAAGTATACTGCAACATGAGGTCTTTTCCCATTCATATCCCAACATGCCCAAATGTCAGTGATATGAAAAAAAAAAAGACAAGTAAAAAAATACTGCTGGGTAGCCATGAACTGTGTGATCTGCACATTTCTACCAACACAGATGCACTGATAAATTCAAAAGACAGACAACTAATGCTTGCTAATTTGCTATATGAAACAGAAGAATAAAATATATACAGAATTTTTCCCAGTCTAATTGTATGTCCAGTATTTCACTTTCCCGGTGACTTGCAAGAGCTCCAAATGTACAAGGGGTGCATATCACAGCGCCAGAAAAAGCCATTTAGCAGGAACCCTTATCTGCCTTCAGAGTCATGATGATTCCAGTAGACAGTGTCTGCCAAGTGAACTTACTAAAATTTATAATTACCTCATTACTGAGTACGGTCACCTAGTTATATATTGGCTGCCAAAAATGCCAATAACATGTATGTAATCTTAGTCGTGCTCTCAAAGGATGAGAAATGGATTCACTTTCCTGCTAAGTACTGGATGCCCCTGAAGTCCACTCCAAGGAAGGTGCAAATATTTTGAAGGATGAAGATGCCACCATTTATGGTTTAAATAGCAAGTACAATTTAATTTGCCACCACAGCCGATATTTTCATCTATTTACATGTCCCTAGAGTTCTTGACACAACCCTGTGTTCATTTAAATAATAGAAACAGCTTAGGTTGAAAAGAAAACCTACACATTTTCAAATGACACTCATTTTCTTCTTGCAAATTCACTAACTCAAGACAGTGTCCCTACCCTCTCTAATCTTACAATACAGAGAAGTATTTTCAGCATTCACTGTGTTAGTCTCTGTAATGGAGGCCTTCCCAATGCTGCTGTATGTTATCTTCTTACCAATTTTGAAATTTATAGTTTTGTATATTTTCTTCATTCCTGCCTTCATTTGCTTAAGTCATCTGCACTTTCACATTGCTTAGTCAGAACACTGTAAAGTTAAGAAAAACAAAGACACAACTTTCTGATGGACAACGTATCATTGGGCTGTACAGGGATGTGGAGAACACTCAAACACTAAGCCTAATTTTAAATTACTTCAGATGTGTTAAAAAGAAAATACTGTTAATTATTTTGAACAAACAAAAATGTTAAAACCTGATTTCTTTTTTCTTTTTATTACTATGAGAAATTTCAGACACTATTATTTATCCTTGCATACATTTACTGAATGCTAAATAACTATGAAGCACTGTGAAAATTAAACATGTGGTACTTATCTTCTTTTTTTGTTGGTTGAAGTTATCTATGATGACACCAATGAATAAGTTTAGGGTGAAAAATGATCCAAAGACAATAAAGGCCACAAAGTAAATGTACATGTACAGGTTGTCTTCATATTTGGGCTGATGTTCTGCCTATGTAACATAGGAAAACAGCAAAGCATCACAAATAACAGTTAAGACAAATCAAAGATTCCCGAGCAGGAGGAGAAGTTGCATCCAGATGGGCAGGGGGTAAACCCAACTATTTTCAAGCATACACAACACTTGCCTCATATCTGAACTTGAAAATCTATTTAATATAGGTTTCTGTAATTGCACACATTGCAGGCTTTGCCATTCCTTCCCTCTTGTCTGGTCTCTTTGACGATATTTGACATTTCATGTAGGTCCTACTAATTTGATGAAAATCTGCAAATCTCAAAAGCAATTCAGTTCCTACAGACTAAATGCAAATCAAGAGCTGGATTGAGGAGTGGCACAAACAAATATCAAGATTAAAAAAAAAAATAGGCAAATTTGGTTTTTGAGATCATCAGAGTCTGCAGCTCCGAATTAACTTTTGCAGTGATGTCTCTGGACTATTTGGGTTATTTTTGAGGACACAGAAAAAACTTGTTTCCTGATCTGTACAATCTCAGATATAAATTAACAGAAAACTGTATCTCATTAGTTTGGATTTTTAGAGAAGAATTATTAAATTAGTAATAATTTATGTAGCTTACAGCTGTAATTTTTTTTTCTAGTAAAATTATAAGTACTTTGTGGGCATAGATTGTAGAAAATCCATCAGGGCTTTACATTTGATTTTAATATTTTAGCTCATTTCAACTACCATTCAAGGAGCCTTATATCAATCTTGGATTCGCTTTCCCTCAGTAAATTTTATTTTTACATATTAGATTTTATATTGCACTCACTTTTGTAGAATCAACTGCAGCATACATAATCTCCATCCATCCTTTAAATGTTGCCTAAAAACAAAACTTGTTAATATTTCCTATCAAAGCTCCAGTTCTGAAAACATTCAAAATAAAACAGTGTCTTTTGCAATGTATTTCTGTTCATAAAAATAAAGAAAATATTAAAAGTCTAGTGCGTCACAAGTGAAGCATTCACAGGAAATTCATTACTGAGGAATATTTCCCCCCAGTTCTTAAAAAAAAACACTGAATAAATTCAAATCTTCATGGAAATTCATATATACTCTCTGTGAGATGAGTTGAAATCAATATCACCATACCAGAGAGACAGCAATTTATCTCCCAGGGAAATGTGATGTACTGGTTGCCATCTGTAAAGCATTACCTTAACAGGAAAGGCACTGTGCTATTTGGCATCCCAGTAAAGCCAAGTCCCTGATGTCAGGGTACAGGGAACCTGCGTGATCAGCTGGTCCACCTGCACAGGGATGGTGTGGGTCACTCCACTGGAAACAAGGAGCTCCATTTACATTAAATGTCCATTTAGCAATATTACCCCCTGAAGCAAACAGACGGTAGCCTGCTAGCACAACACTAACTACTAAAACTACCAGTTGGAATTTTTTAAAGGCAGAATAATTACTAATTGCTCACAAGTACAAATAATTTCCCAGAAGTAGTTTGTCAAATGAACCCAATTATAAATACATATGTTTGTCTTATTGGCAATTTACAGATACTCTCTCTAAAAAGGCTCATGTCTAGAAATCTAACACTTTCTTCTTGTTTGAAGATCAGATAAATCCTAGAATGTATCTATGACAACCATGGTAAAACTATTAGCCAATATGCCTTAACAGATAAGGAAAATAAAAGAAAAGGAGACCTAGCTGCAGTTTTTAACCAGATATTTGCTACATACCGTATTTCCATAGCACTTGAAAAGGTACTAGCAGCTGGGTGCCATGCAACCTTTTATCCATCAGGTAAATATTAGATATTCCTCCTCTTCCAAAATGGCCAGAGAATGTATCACATTTTTACAATAAGCAACATTAATTAGCTCCACAGAATAAAATTATGAAGTCAAATCCATATCCATTTATTTATTTTAAAATAACATTGAAAATTATGGAATTAAATGATACCACAACTAAAACTAAAGCTGGAAAATTTATGCACTTACCACTTGAAGCAGAGAAAGATACCCAATTGCCACATTATCAAAGTTTACTTTCACATTTTTCCACCGAACATCTCCAGTAGTCCTGTTCATATTTTCACACATACTTTTATTACTGACTTGCTCTGGTGTGAGCATCTCATCATTTGTGGTGTTAACACAGTGATAGAACTTGCCAGCAAACAAATTTACTCCCATAATGCTGAAAATTAGCCAGAATGTAAGACAAACCAGAAGTACGTTCATAATGGATGGGATTGCTCCAGTAAGAGCATTCACAACCACCTAGTCAATATACACAGAAAAAAAAATTAAAAACAACACAAGGGTTATTATTTTATTAATTTAGAAGACAATTTGATGTAAAACATTACATTACACTGAAGTAAGGCAAATAGAAAAGTAGTAATGCATGTCATATAACAAAACATGCTACTGTTGGCCTTACTAACAGACATTCAATTAGTGTTATTCCATGCTTTTATAATTTGGCATATTTTCAGGGATTTGTTTTACACATTACTTGCTTTTTTCTTCCTTACCCTCATGCCTTCAAAGCGTGACAAAGCTCTTAGAGGTCTCAAAGCTCTTAATGTTCGGAGCGATTTAATTGCACCAAATTCTGAGAAACCAAGGGCAGTAGCTACTAAGCTAACCAATGAGACCTAGAGGAAACAAAACAAAACAAAATGATAGTACTTTTCTTTTTTAAGTAACTTCAAAGTAGAAATGCCTTGAGGGGTAAAATTTTGATCTGGATATTGGGAAAAAAATTTCAGAAGGTCCTTTATTTTTCAGTGAAAATAAATTAAAAAAAAATTTTTTTTTTAGCAAGTAATTTCCTCTCCCTCCATGTGTTTGATTGTGGTTTGGACAGCCTGTGATATCACCTATAAACTGGCTTCCACATATAGAAATCCTAAATATAACATTAGAAAATTAGAAATTCAAAAGGGGTATTGCAAAAAAAGGAGGAGAAATATTACAAAACATCCTGTAATGATACACATGAGACAGAATCCCAACCTCAGCTTCATTTCAACTTTCTGCTCTTGTAACTACCAAAGAGTATAATTGCACAAAAGCACATTGTTATCATAAGCTCAAAAAATCTTAGGATTTTTAAAATTGTTTGTATTTTGGACAACTAATGTGCCTACTTTTGTGGAAGAAAGGGTTTAATCCACAAGAATTTTTGACACCATCAGTACAGCTGGATTAGCAGCTCAAAAATTGATATTCCTGCTGTTTTCCAGCTAAAGTCAATGACTTGTGTCCTCACTGAGCCTACCACTCCAGATGGCTATCTCCTGTTGTGTTTGCACAAGGAAGTCTTCTGCAGATTTCTTTCCTCTAAGGGTAGCTCAAGCAAGCTGCCAAATACTATACAATCCCACTGCTTCTCTTCTCTGTGATACCATTTGTAATTGCACAAGGAAAGCTGAGCAAAACGAGCATTTTTATTTGTTTCAGGGCTAATTATCTGTTTCTGAAATAACTGTAAACTTCACAATGGGTAAGAACTTCTGTCTGTATACCATAAGTTCTTTCCCAAACAGGGAACAGCTGGAGAGTTGAGGCTGCTAGGTACAGAACAGTTTGCCTGAAAAGATTCTGTAAAATGTCTCACAGTGATAATTTAACTTGACTCATACTGGTATGGCAAATTTGTTCAACATTTAGCTAGAAGATAAAGGCACAGGACAGAAAGAGAAAACAAAGATCTATTTAAGAAGTTGAGGGCAGCACCTGCATGCTACACCAGCAGGAAGAGAAAGAATTAAAATTCCTTGTTAGTGGCTGAAAACAATAGCAAGTAGGTCTGGCAATAATGTTTGAAAAAGCTTAAGCAGACCACCACGACTTTAAGGGTGGGAAGGAGTGGGTTTACAATATAGGAGGTCAAACACTGGAAAATGCATTGCTAAGTAAGGCATTCTTCATTCAAAACAGAGTATCAGCCTGAGCTGTCTAATCAAACCTTGAGGTTAGAGCTAACTGAAAACCTCTGATGGGAGGTTATAACATATTATATATATATATATATATATATATAAGTTATATATATTATATAACAACATGAGTTATTATATAATATGCTGCTATAGGACTACAAAATGCAGACACTCTAAACAAAAGATTAAGATGGCTACATGGAAGCACTGAAATTGCTGAAAAAATGAAGAGCCCATACCTATCCATGTGGATATATGGTATGCCTCATCAGAAGAATTGATGTTAAAACTCAATTCAAGATCAACATTTCCCAACACAGGCTTGTACAGAGACATTACATCTGAATACTCCTTAAATACTAATAGATTTATTTATTTCTGTTTAATTTTCTTTCTTTTTTACCAATGATCATTTTAATGGAAAAAAACTTCAGAATTTATGTATCACAAACTTCTGGAAACATACTGTCTGATTATTCATAATATGAAAAGACTCTAAAACACGGCATCAACAATTTTATGCAAAGGTGACAGATCTATCTAGATGACTGCTGCTGATTTCCTATTAATTATAAAATTGTCATAATTTTTCACTTAACACTTAAATTATAATAAAGAAAAATCAGAATGCTACAGCATCCACAAAGAAAGAAAATATACAAAAATTATATATTCAGCCTTACTCAAAGACAGTCCTAACTTTTTTTCTTTCATGTGCTAAGGTTTTTGTTTTGGAAAATTTAATCTTAGGGGAGGGCCTTTATACTTGCTAAGTTTCTTACAGGTCAGTACATCTGTTTTGGGAATATGTTGACTTTATTCTTGGTGTAAGTATTAACCCGTAGTTCAGAACAGAAGAAATGGACAGGATATGAAAGTAAAAAGCAGGAAACTGCATATCCCAGAAAAAACATATCACATATTTTCTCATGTCACTGAGTCCATTTGCCTAGAATGGGGATTCACTGAAAAGAGAAGCACAGTTAAATGAGGAAGACAAATAACAAACACCAAAAAGCCTACTTTAAGAAGAGCATTAGGTAAGTTTCAATTCTGCTGGTAGGGGACAAAATTTTGGTCCTAGATTCCAGATACCACCCAATCAATAGAGTTCTCTTTTGTCCACTTGTTGAATTTCTAGTCCAATATATTTGCAAAAAGAAAGAACTCATTTAAATGAACATATCATGCAATGTCACTAATTTAGTTTCTTTAGAGTGTCAACACTAGCTTTTAATGTTATTGTTGAAAAACAATTCTTTGTCAGTGCCCCATTAAGCCCAGGATCAAATGCCCTACCCCAAGTGCTCACTTAAATTTCCCTTTCCTTTCTTGTATCTGTGTCCCCCTTGCTCTCTGCTGCCACATCCAGCAGACTCAAGTCAAATCTGTAAATAGTGCTCCCTCACCAGCTGGGACCCTGCACAGTAAAACACAGAACACACGGTGTCAGTGACAGCACAAAAGCAGATTTAGTTACACACTGGATAACTGCAGCAGGACCTTATTCACCAGTATGTAATTTTCCATTCCTTTAAACCAAATTTATATTATTCACTGCATCTATCTCTACCAGACTGAAGTTACATAAAACTACCCGCCTAAACAACAGAAACAGACTACTTGGAAAGCATAGTACCTACATCGACAATCAGGAAGTCCAGCCAGCACCAAGCATTAGTGAAGTAAGTCTGAAAACCATAGGCCACCCATTTTAGCACCATTTCCAGAATAAAGACGTAAGTAAAGATTTTATCAGCATAGTCCAGCAGGACTTTTATAGTCTTGCGTTGTTCAATATATATATCTTCAAAAGCCTGTAAAGAATGGGTTATATATAGGTAAGACATTGAAAAGCCTTAAGCCAGAACTAAATGAAAACAGCAAAGAAAAATCACTTTCAACTTTAGATGTTTTACCTTGAAAAAACAAAATAACAGAAAGTACAATGACATTATATCTGCATTTTCGATTTTATTATTGTCTGAAAATGGAATTACAATAAAAAGTCTGAGGTTGCCCAAAAGATTTTTAGAAATTTCAATAATAGTCAACAGAGAATTGTAAATTTTCACCCTGAAAAGCTCAGCCAGGTTCTGTCAGAAGCCAGAACTCTCATTATTATGTCAACTTCAATTAACAAGAGACCAGATATTATGTTGATGATCTCTAGTGAAGTCTTGCTTTAGGTGCTGATGGCAAGGTTTTAGCAGTGGGAGGCTGCAGATGCAGCCACTGCGAGGAGAGACCACGAGACTGCTTTGTGCCAGCTCCACCATTGATCCCACACAGGAAACAGCCAAGCACAACCACGAAGCTGATGGTGCCTCTGGGAAAACATGTTTAAGAAAGGGCAAAGCACTGTATGGCAGTATGAGCACTGAAGGCAAAAAGTGAGAGAAACTACCCTGCAAACACCAAGGTCAGGGAAGAAGGAAGGGAAATACGTGGTGCTTTAGGTGCTGGACCAGAGACCAAGACAATATATAGCAAATCCTATGTCAATCAGCAACCAATATGAACCCAAATATGTGAAGCACTAAAGTAACTAAGAATAGTATAAAGAAATTCAAGAATTCCTATGTAACAATCCAGAAATACTGCAACTAAAACCGTAGCAAGAAATTAACGAAGACCATGATGAATCCAGTATCTGCTTTTGGGGACAACTTTTATTGGAAGTAGAATAATTGCTTTATGCACACGTTTCCATTTTCATGATTTTTATAATTTCTTAAACAAGATCTTTTGTGTAATCCTATTCATAAACACACACATGACCTAGCATTCATCAAAATTTTAATGTAATGTAAATTAAATGTAATACCCAAAATATTCTGGGAATTTACTTCCAAGATCAAACTTCAAAGACAACTTTGTGTTTTATTCATAATGAATACACACATTATAATACTACACTTAGATGAAACATTTTTATAGGTACTATTTCTTTGGGTGCAAGCTCTACTTACCAGAGCACCACTGCTGAGAAGAATCATGAAGACAATGAATGATTCAAACCAGTTGTGCTCTACTATGTTGTAACACGTTTTTCGAAGGTTCCACCAGATTCTTCCTTTTGTGCTCTCCGTGCTGCCTTTACAGCATTTAAACTTCTGTACACAACCTAATACCACAAAAATTAAGAAACTGTTATAAGGTAGAATTTTCATTATCCTGAAAAATAAAATTATTCTTAGCTAGCTACTGCTTCATGAAGTTCAAGCTACTTCATGCCACTTACGCTACTTATCTTTTAAATTTTATACTTTGGATGTAGGGAAAACTTCAGTGCATGCAACTTTTCCTCTACTCTGATGCTACATCAAGCTTGTAGTAAAGGACAGTCATCTAACTGAGCTAATTTCCACTTACAAACACATTTAAAAATTTATATACAGATAATTAAATAATATATGCAAATTGCCAGGGAGTAGAAACAAGGAGCATACATAGCAACTTTCACATGAACTTGTTCAAGAATACAAGAGCTTCCTCTTTTAAAAGAACTGTTGCCTTTTAGAAAAGGTTCAAATAAATCAGACATTAATACTATTTTTACTATGCTGAGGAACAACTGATGCTCCATGGACTGATGAAGGATAACTCTTTGCATAAACAAATGTTTTAACAGGAGATAATGAGAGCTTTTCCAATCTGATACGGATTTGTGGCAACTGTCCACAGAAATTTGCGTCATATTGGAGAGCTCCCTACTTTATCAATGCCTCAAGGCATTGTCACTAACTGCCTAGCCAAGAGTAGCCTCTTTAATGCTTTGAAAATTATTAATCACATAGAAACAAAACCAATTTGACACGACTTTAATGGATCCCAAAGGCATTCTGGTTTTCCTACCACTGTGCTATCTTACCTTCAACCACTCAAAACATTTGTATTATGAAAAAATAAATCTTATGCCCAAGGATGAATTTGTATCACGTAACACAAGGATAAGGAAGAATTTTACTATATTTTCAAATTATTTGAGAAAGGTACATTTTTTCTTGGATTTTTTTTTAATTAAGAACTTGATATAGTCAATTCAGCCCCACAGTGACAAACAATTCTGGTTTTATGAAGACCAGTAAAATAATACTTCAAAGGACAAAAGTCCTAGCCTACTATCAAAGATGTCTGCAAAACATTAAACTAAAAAGCATGGACAGGATAGGAGAGTTAATCCCGGACCACATTTTGTTCTGAATTATTTTAGCCATGATTTAAAAGGAAATTAAGATCCGTAATGTCACAAAAAACCAAAAAAACCAGAAATTCTTTCCTACATGGTAAATTTCAGTACCCTAGAAGGTGCAGCTATTCACAATTAAAATAAATCAAAACATTTAAGGACATGCAAGTATGCTGTTATGACTTCTTAAATAGATACATAGGATCTCATCCACCTGTTTTAAACCACAGCATATTTATACATCCTCTCCCCCCATCAATGGTGCAATGTCAACAAATTCAGTTGATTGTTTGAGTCAAACTCTCCACTGAATGATGGTGGATGACCTGAACCACCCGCTGAATTGCTTTCTAGCACTAGGAAGTGATCAATCACATGATATCATTTTAAATTTCTCAGTGAAGTGAACCTAGTGGAGGGCTTGATCTTGCAGATTTCACTACTGACAAAGCAATTTAAAGCAACAGAATTACTGTCTGCTGAGATTAAGCTTGTAGATTTGTGCCTAGTGGTTATTTTAAAATATTAAAAATTACTACATACACACATATTGAACTTTGCTTTAACAAACAGTACTTCATAGATGTCAGTATTGCTGTCTACAACAGGCAAAATTAATCATACCCTAAGACTTGATGAATTAGGATCCAGAACTGCTGTAGCAAGTTGAACTGGCAATGTTTACTGCAAACAAAAAAAAAACGTAATTGCTAGGTCCAAATTTTATTTCCATACCTTCTGTAAAGCATGCTTGTACTTCTGATGCTTTTTCTGGTTCAGTTTCACTTTTTTCTTCTCCAAAGACAGCTAAATTAACTGTACTTCCTTCTGATGAGCTGGAAAAATCTAGCTTCTGAAAATAAAATTGAATTATATTTTTACTTTATTAATATTTCTGGTTTTAGAAGTGTAATTAACTAAGCATGCAACACCATGTGCTGGTAATAAGAACAATATTTTTCACCAGAAATACAAAAAAAACACCCACACATAGCAGTCAATGCTGTTGAAATGTGCATAAATTGTCCACTTTCTATCTAGAGATTGCACAGCATGGAATCTTTCATGGAATTTCAGAATTTCTAGAAAGTTAACTGTTACCACGTTGATTTGCTCATACATATTCTATTTATTTTGTTTTCTACTATTACTTTCTTATACATTTCAACTGGCATTCATTTGCATTCTTTTCTGCCAATGCACATATGTAGTACATTGTGCATTCTGAAACTACCCATTACTCTGGTACACATACCTGTACAGTCAACACCCAGAGATAATTTTGGGGGGTTTTTTGTTTGTTTTTTTATTTTTTAAATAATTAATATTATGTAAGTCACATTATTAAAATGATCCCCAAAACAAACATATGTAAAAACAAACATATACACAACCCCCAGCCCCATTACAATACAAGAATAAGCCTTAATATATTATTTTGTAATCTGCCTGTGTATTGCAGAGATGTGGAGATTTTAAGGGCAGATGTGGTGTCCTGTACACTTAAGTTAAGTATGAGTACCAAACTAAATCAGAGTAGTTTTGGTCACAGCATTCTCTGACATTTTAATGCTATTATCAAGAAGTATAAAACACCAGTAATGAAGTCACACAAGTAAATGTTTGTAGGGAATGATGTAAGCACACTTTATAAAACAACCTTGGTTTTGTCAAATCAACACCATTTTTACTAATTTAGTTAGATTTTTATGAATACGAGATATTTAAGAGATAAATGCAGACAATTTGCTATCCAATCAAGTTGTATTTACACCTCAATTGTAAATTGTGAAAGCACAAGATTATTTTTGGTAATAAACAATTTTTATGTTTGTGGATGAAGACAGACAATATAATAACAATAAGTAACCCAGTATTCTGCATTAGTTTAAATTAAAAATGGTTTTGTTATATTGCCTACTTTGCTATTACTTTACAAACTGATTATCTGGAAAAGAATCCCCATATTACTAATGTTTACAATAAAGATGTCTTTTCTTTTTTAGCAACATAATTTCAAAATGGCAATATTCACAGCAAACAACTTTTCCTATCGTTACTTCTACTGAACCCAGGGATAGCACAAGACGCCCTTCACAATTCTATTATTATGCTGCTTTCATCATTCCATGACATAGCATATATATTGCAAAATGTTGCAGTGGTGGTGAGAAAACTAAAACATTTAATTAAATAAGTCAAATTATTATTTTAAAAATATATACTTTTTAAGACTAAAGAAGTTTTGCGTCATATTATTAACAAAAATTTAAAGCAATGTGAAGTACCCTAAGTAATTTGAACTGTAAGCTTAGGACATGACATTAATTCAAATGAAAGTATAAAAGATGAACAACCACAAACACAAAAGTGACTGAAAAGAATCAACATGTTTAGAACATGAAGTTATGTATTTCATATAATTCATGTTAGAAGAATCAGAGGTTAGACCTTTTTAAAATTTCTTTTTAATTACAAAAGGCAATTTTCTTTACACTAGAAATAAAACTAGAGATTACATGAACTATTTTGATATAAACCAGGTAGTCTGGTTTCCTCTTTCTTCTAAAGATGATGTAGAATATAATCCTACTGCTTAAGGAGTTACAGATTTAATTAAACATTGGTTCTCTTTTTTATGTGAGGGACTCATATTTTTCACTAAAATGCAGGTATCAAACAACAACATCACCAAAAAAAGTGATCATAAAAATAAGTATGCATAGAAGAGTTTCTCCCTCTAATTAAAAATTAGAAAGCTAGTTTCTTTGCTATTTACAACAGAAGTCTTTGCAGAAGTCTAACTGATCTGGGGAATCACTCCAGGAAGAGAACTTTCAGGAAAGACAGAAATGTTCATCCGTCAACTTCTAGGGCCCTTAGCTGCTGTTCAGTTTACTAAACAGAGGTAAGAAGGCCACATTGAATGTACACTAAGCACTGGATTGAATGGATTAACTTAGAAAAAAATTGGTACCCGTATATATTAGAAAAAAGCATTGCCTTACTATGCAGGGAAGGCTTAGACAAAGTGACATCCAAATGAAAAAGATTTGTGTATTTTTCAGTCAAATGATTGGAAGCTCCAAGTTTACTCGCTTGCATGCTGCTCTACGCTTGTCCAAACTCATGTAAGCAGAAGCTCAAGTTAGGAGCAGTGTCACATAATCAATATCCATCAAAGAAGACTCAGCCCCTAATACCTGGGACCACTAGGATGGGACATTACCATTCCACTCTTCCCTACTGAAGTGCCTTTTCAAAAATAGCTTAAAAAATCCCTAGAAAGATATTTTTCCATTCCTTCTGAACAGTTTACCGTCCCCTTGCACACAGAAGAGACCTAAATACTTCCAATATGTAATACAGTGCAAAAGAATAGATGGAATATAATGATTCCACAACAAATCCACACAAATAAAAGCTGTATTTGCAAAAGGATTATCTCAATGGTAAAGAACAGAACTGTCAAACTATAGGGAAGAGAATGCATAGCTTAGTACAATTAATCTAAATACTAAACTTTTTAAGTTTTATGGTTCTAGAGTTTCTGAATTTAGAGGTTTGGGAGTGCAGTAGCTCCCATTTTTTCTTTTTAAAAGTTGTTTTAATTTGATCTTTATCCCAAGTTTTCCTATTTCTCTCTTGTTTGAACATCCTTATTTATATAGTTTTAAACCATCCAGATTTATTTAGACACCTGCACAGAACTTTTGATTAATGTTTTATGTTTGTCTTTATAAAAAAAAAGGCAACTGGATTATGTTCACAAAGAAACAATTATTTATGCTGAAGAACAAAACTTACATAAATGATTCCCTACATTCCAACCTTGCAGACATATATAAACTTCATGACTAGACTATAACTAAATCATTACATCCATTTTCAAAGGAACTATGCATATGTATAAAAAATACATTTGATTGTTCCTAAGAGTGTATCTTTCATCCTATAATTTAGCTTCTCTTATATGAGAAAACTGAAATGTGAATTACAGAAATGTTGTGAACAAACACAAACCAATTTATACAAAAGATATAAACATTTTAGCATACAAGTAACTGTATATATGTAATATTACAGAGGCATTGGTCAAATGAACGTGATCAGAAAATGTTCATAATTACATGGTAGCTAAAAACATAGTACAACAGATGAACAGAAAACAACAAGTGAGGACAACCTTTCCATTGGCATAAAATCATAGGTTGTTAACCTCTTTTGATATTGAAAAGTGCTGATCTTAATCATTCAGTCAACAATAATAAAACTTACAAAGCATGCATGTTATGCCACAGAAAAAGTACAGAAAATACCAATGATGTAACAAGGAGAGAAGAAGGCATGGGTGGTGCCCTCAGTCATGCTGTGATGTGAGTTGTGGGACTCGGCTTACAGAGTGCTGCACATGTTCCCACTACATTGCAACATACGGGGAAAAAGATACTGGAGCTGAGTAGCATGCAGGCCAATCAATCTCAGAAGTGATTATGTATGATAATCATATGCATGATTTGTTTAGGTAACCTGTGTAAACATGCTGACACGTTGCTCTGCCTGGTTTAAAAGCACCAGTCTTGACTGATCCAGCTTGATTTTACTCCTGTGAGAGAATGGCACGCAATGAAATTAAAATATGGTACCCTTGGGGTTGTTTGAGTACTGGAAACAGAAGTGTGGATTCCTACTTACTTAAAATATGTGTTTTCTAGATATGGCACACATTTACAAAACATAGTATTTTTAGGTGTGGATTAGAGCTTTAGACACAACCAAATATATAATGGAAGAGGCAAGATTAGCAGAACATCTGAAGTTCATAGATGTATACTGGACTTGGGACTGAACATAAAGAACACCCCACAAACAAAAAACTAAACCACCACCAAAAATCCCTTCACCCTTAAATTCTCCTCCTTCAAAAAAAAAAAAAAGAGGCCCAAACAAAAAGACATACAGATGCACCCACAATATTTCAGCTTAAAGTATCCTTTACATAGTAGTATCCAGACATTTAAAACAACAGAAATACATTTCTCCTTGCATTTCATTTTCAAGGTTATTACTGGTCTTCACTAGATGCTAATTAGGATACATCTAGGTCCCTTCTTTCAGAAAAGAGCTGCAGGCAAAACAAAAAGTAAATCATACCACGTTAAAACCAGAAACTTCTGCATAAGAAATTTTTCCCAGCATCTTTAAATATTTAACTGAATGATTTTCAAAAAAATTTCAAACAGTTCAAGATGCATTATGGATTGTAGCAGACACAGCAATGAAAAACAAAACCTCATGCTTAGCAATAAACCTCTAAGTTCCTCAACTTGTCTTCTGGTACAAATCCACTTCTTAGCAATGGCTTCTCAAGGATTCATCAAATAATGTAGCTACGTAACAACTCCAACATAAAGTGCTCCATTTAAAGGGGAAGTAAAAAAGAAAGAGCTGAACTAATCTACAAGATGAAAGACAATTTCCCTACCCACTATGAATAAGCGTACATGAAATGGGGGTGGTTTTTTTTAGTTTATGTACCTCCCGTGGTTGCCAGTTGTCAGCCAGTTTTCCAAATCTGAGCAAATCAAAACTGATACTAGGTAACAGCATCTCATAAAAGACTAGTGCTCATGCATCATCTTGAATATCAGAGGTAAGAAGGCACAGATTTTGTCACTCAGTTCTAAAATATAAAATACTGAAGACATAAGTGTCTTCAACTGAAGGTTAATTTCCAGGCAAGTGGTAGATTTAAAGTTAAATTAGCCAGATTCACTAAATATTCCTCCCACAAAACCCAAGTTTTATTAAAATACTAAAAAATCCAGTATCCTTCAGTCAGATAAATAATATGTAAAAGTTGTAGTAGCTATTCAGCAAACATTATAGCTTCATTGCATACAGCAGTTTCTATTTTAAATGGGTTAATAATACTGTCTGCTTTGCTTTAACAAAGCCTCTTAGCAATCTACAGTCTTCTCAACTGAGTGGTCAATGTAACATCTGCAGTAATACAATCTCCAAAAAGTAGATGGAACAAATCAAGGATCAAGAAACAAGCTACTGAAATAACAAAAATAAGTAAAATACTACTGAACACTGTAATCTGCAACAAAAGAAACACCTGAAGAGTACTTTGTTACACCTTTCTAAATTTAATTTCACTATGCTTCCAGGAACAAACTTATCTTCTAACCTTTGGAAGTTATACTGGCAAATTAACTGCCAGTTCAAAACAAAACACCTGAAAACCTAAAAAGCCCACAACCAATCAAAAATCTCTCAGACTCATCAACTGAATGCACAAAAACCAACCACACACAAAAAAAATCACCCCAAAAAAACCCAAAACAAACAAACAAAAAAACCCAAACAACCCAAAAAACCAAAACAATCCAGACAAAGCAATCCAGACTGGAATACAGCTGTCTGCACAAGCGATGACATTCTATTTATGTCCTCGTGTCTTCAGGTGCCAGAGGTGGTGATAGCAGACACAGTCTGCTTGAGCCACAGATTTCAATTTGAATTTTTAGTGTCTTTCAAAATCCTGCTGAAATCCATGATTTTGCTTTTCTTCTCAGACTGAAGCTGCTGACAAATGACTACAGTCCAAGAGATGACCCAGTTTAAAATCAGGCAGTTGTGTTAAAAATGACTGGTTTAAAACTCCCCCAAAAAAGTAAGAAATTAATATTTTTTCATTCAGTAATTCTGTTTTTTATCTTAAGTTTTTAGTTGACACATTCACATTACAATACAAACATTGCTCCCTTGGCTTCCCCCCATTATTTTGATTTCAGAACATGAAAACTGTTGCTACTGCTCTCATTAGTCTGAGTCAGCACCTCTGTTAAGCTTATTCAGTAAAAGAAATGCTGATTTTCCTTTAAGAGTATTAATATTTTTTATTATTATCTTCGTTAATATTTTTAAATAGCAGTTTACTTACATTTAGCTCACAGAAACATTATAAAAAACCCCCAGTCTTTTGACACTGCTTGTTCTGTACATATATACTATTTTCTCCATTCAACTAACAGTTTGGTAGTTTGCTTTTGAAACATCTTTATAAATGGGTTCACATAAATTTATACAGTTCTTCCAGGATTTCCTACTCTCTCGAACTCTACTTTCCCACTTCAGATTATTCACTCCCTGTACAGCCCAAGAATCTTGGGTTACAATGGCATTTCTTTGCATTTCTAATCAGGAAGAATTACACTATGAAACAATACAGTTAGTATAATTTGTTAATCTAAAATATGAAATTTTTAAATTTTACCTCCTTGCTTTCATCCAAATCTGAGTCACTGCTAAACTCTTCTGTATTCAGACGTTCAAAATCAGACTCTCCAACAGCTATTGGTACTGTAACAGTAATGCTTGGGTTGTTTATGAATGATGTATAATCATTGCCACCTATAACAGTGGCCATTCCATTTTCATTTTTGCCATCATTTGTATCTATCATTGGTTCAGTGACAGTACAGTTGGAAATGCAACGGTTTCCCTCATCATTCAACTGATCTGTTCTTTGATTTACAGCAGCTTGTTTTCCCAAACAAGACCTTCGGACACATTCACCTGCTTTTTTCTTCACATAATCTATTCCCTTCTGAATTCTTGCAACAGCAATCTGCAAGTTGTTCATTTCATTATCATCGTCTGTAGCAGCAAGGTTGTCTGAACTAAATGAACTCAGCAGCAAGGCCAGAAAAAGATTCAGTACCTAATTTAAAAAAACAAAAAAAAAAAGACAACAGAGCAGATTTTTTCCATTTTTCATGCACATGCTTCTTATTATCCCATTATGAACACAGGCCTTGTGTTTTCATCTACAGTAATGATTCTGAAAGTATACGGTAAATAAAATGCAAATGCAATTAAATAAAATACCTTCCCTATACCTCAACACAGGAGATTTTGTGGCTTTACATTGCTTATGTTTGTAGAAGGTCAGAAATTAAGGATTCTTTGGTACTGTCTGAACAGATTCAACAGGTTTACAACATATTTTCTACATGCTGGTCCAAACTCACACAAATAATTTTTTTTGTATGCAACTTAAAAAATGAGGAATGTACACTGTCTTTTAATCCCCAAGTTATCCTTTTCCCACAGCAAGACAAAACATGGAACATATATCAGTTACAAAAGCCCAGAGGCTACCAGGAACTCAAATGCTAAAGCAGCAGAGTACCAGCTCTTAAAATCTTCAAATCAGCTCTTCCATCCGCTTGGAAGGTAAGACAAAAAAAAGTTTTAGGAATGCAGAGTGACAACTGGATAAAACAGCCCTGAACATACAGCAGGGATGTCTGCTCATCTAAGAAGTTTTCCTAGAGATACGGAATAAAATCAGAATATAGTAAACACTGTGGAAATATTCACATAGGCAGATACTTCATTCCACAAAGTTCAATCTTCTGGTTTAGAAAACTACTTATGGAGTTTAATCAAACAACTCCAGAGTTCTCTTCATTATAAGACAATAGATTAATAGAAAATCCCAAAGCAAGTGGCTGTGCAACTAGAAGCAGGACTGGCTTGGTTTAAAGATACTTACCTTATTCCTCTCACAAATTTCATTCTTAAAGAATATTTAGAGGATGGCTAATTTAAAATCTCTTCTGCTACTGAAAATTGTTTAAACCAGAGATGTTTAAAAACAGAGGAATGAGAAAAATGGAGCAAGAGGCAGAGCAATTAATGTCTTAAATACTGGCAAACTAAAAAATATAAAACATTTAAAAAGAAAAATTTATACAAACTAGTGCTAATCGGATGCTTTCCTCTGAAAAAGAAAAAAGCAGATATAATACAGGCCATGTTAGAAGTATCTGTAGAAAGCCCTTATGAAATAGCAAGCAAAAAAGTGAAGAAACAAAAGAAAACTTGAAGTAATTGAAGCTAGGTTTTTTTCTGCATAACAACTTTCCTTCTAATTCAAGTTTCCTTACTCCACTTGTGCAAAATGCTGGCGGTGCAGCAAGCAGGTCTCAAAATGGCATATACTTCAGAGTGTTAAGAATGCAATAGCACTTATTTAGACAGGAGAGATCAGAAAAAGATTTAAAAAAAGGCCCAACAACCTGCCTGTGTGTGATTTGAAGCAATGACTAAATTGGTTAGGGAGAAAAGGCTCTGCTATATTCTCTTCTGCAAATAGGTAACTTCCACTCTGGAAGTCCAAGATTGAGGGTGCCCTTGCTCTTCTCTCCCTCGCTAGGTAAGCAGGAGTAGCCCACAACACTCTGAACACCTGCATGCTCTCATCCACACCCTCTGAACTACACTCCACACCCCTGGGGGGGGTCATCCTCCAAGCTGAGGACTCTAGATAGGATCAGAAATCTAATAAACAGAAAATTCCATTTCAAAACCCATACTCATAACAAATCCAAATAACAAAATCATATTTAAAATCACATTTAATAATACTTTCATAATTAATTACTGGTTCTCTTACCTTTCATATTCTAAATTAATTATAAAATTATTTTGGCTACATACCACTAGGTTTCCAATCACCATGACCATCATGAAAACAATAAGGCACATGGCTTGGCCAGCAACCTCCATGCAGTCCCACATGGTTTCTATCCATTCTCCACACAGCACTCGGAATACAATCAGGAAAGAGTGGAAAAAGTCGTGCATGTGCCAGCGAGGGAGCACACAGTCACTGGAGATCTTGCAGACACATTCCTTGTAGCTCTTCCCAAAGAGCTGCATCCCAACCACAGCGAAAATGAACACGATGATGGCCAGCACCAGGGTCAGATTCCCCAGAGCCCCCACTGAGTTGCCAATAATCTTAATCAGCATATTTAGAGTTGGCCAAGATTTTGCCAATTTGAAAACTCGCAACTGGAAAAAGAAAAAAAATACAGGCATTATTTGCAGTAGTTACAAAAATTCTATTGAGATGACAGCGTGTTGCTAACTAGTGACTCTCAGCAATAGCAAAAAGAAACATCAATATGATTCTTAAAACCATAACTTCCATAGCATTTCATAAAACATAAATATTACATCTCATTAAAACGTACTACATTTTAGACTTTGCTCTTTTCTTCCCATGGAGTTTTTTGTTTTGGTGGTGTTCTTTTGGGATTTTTTTTTTTTTTGGGTTTTTTTTAGCATATATATTCTTTTCCATATGAAACAAACAGCACACTGGCTGTATTTGTTCAGACAGTGGATTCTGAACACATACACCTTGGACATTACGTGTAGAAACAAATTAAAATAAAAATATTTTTCTAATAAAATAAAGAATTTTTCTTTTTGGTAAGGGGAAAATAAAAATCAATCTTCAAAAAATTTATTAAACCCACGAATTTTATAATTCCTACATTTTAAAATACCACATCTAGACTTCTTGCTATTTCTAAATATGGAAGTCAACAAGACTACAAAGTTTTCTACTTCTCAATATACACTAAACAAACTGTGCATTTTACTGAACTTTACTCATTAATGTTTAAACAATTACAATAAAATTACAGATCTTTCCCTTGAAAGAGTACTTGTTTCTGAACAGTAAAATGGCACACAGTGTTCAATGATAAATAATTTTTAAAACATGCCTGCAGATACATCCTGTGTCACTCACTAAAAAGCATACTAAAAGGTGTCTTATATATATGAATAGAGTTGAAATACAAACATAATTCATTAATTAATGCAGATGTATTATTTACCAATCTGAATGAGCGGAGAACAGATAATCCATCCACGTTTGACAAAAAAAGCTCCACCAAACTAAGGGTAACTATAAAACTATCAAAAATATTCCAGCCAACTTGGAAATAATTAAAAGGATGCATGGCAATTATCTTGAGAACCATTTCTGCTGCAAAAATTCCAGTAAAAACCTGAAGAAAAAGATTTTACTGTTACTTTATGGATGAATATTAAGAAGTTGAACCTGCAGATAAGGAACAGCTGAAGTAAGAAGTAACATCCCTCTTACAGCAGGATGTCACTAAGTAAAATTATCACAAGCTGAGCCCCACAGAGAAGGCAAGTAGCAATATCAAAATGAGCTGTGGCATAAATATGTAACATCAGTTAAAGATACATTTAGTGTCTACTGAAGAATAAGCTACTCCTAAGAGGCCTCCAGTTTGCTCCTTTTATCTACCATCCATCTAATTAAATAGAATTAAAGGAACTTTCCCCAGCAAGATAATACACTTGCTCTTGTTAGAACGTAAGTTGCTTTAACAAAGGTGTGTGGGAAAACACGAATTTGTCATAAATTGGAGTGATGTACTATTAATGAAGTCTCTAGAAGAACTCACAAGTAAGCTTATCTTCTCTAATGGCCAAAAAAAAGGTCAATTGTGCCAAGGCTTGCCTAAATAAAACTTCTTTCTGAGTCTGAATGCCTCTGATATCTTCTGAAGCAGCTGGCAAACAAGACCTCTGAAATATATTCATTGTATTTACTGTAGATGTATGATCACCAGTATCTACAAAACTACATAAATTACTATCTTTAACAAGAAACATGAAAAAAGTTCCAAAATATCAGGATCATTTTACAGTCTCTAAAATGCAGAGCTACAGAGTCCAAAAAGGAAGAAAGCAACTGCTGAAACCATACCAGTGTCATAATGGCATACTGGTTGACTAGGAGCACACACAAATTCTTGACATGAAGGAACACTTACATTCACACATACTAAACTACTCCATTACATAGGAAAGGTAGGAATGGGAGTTTCCTGGGTAAAACATACAGACACAATCACAAGACAGCTCTCTGAAACAGCTATTGATCCTCATCTATTTGTCTTCCCTATCTTTTCCTCAAAGACACCCTGCATATATTTTAAACAGCAGCATGAAATATTTATCTTCTACACATAATGATCTCTAATTCCAGGTTAAGCAGAAAACAGTGAAATATATCTGTATAGGATAAAAACATCTGCATACAGTTTAAATGCTGATACTTCAACTCTGTACTTCAGTCTGTTACCAACATGTATTAGAATATCACATACGCTAATAACCAAATTGTTTTATTATTTTTCTAGATCATACTCACCAGAATAACCACTTAGAATAAGCATAGGTTAATAAGTATAATATACCTGTATTATTGCTTTAATAAACCAAATAAAGCTACCTCACCAAACCATACCCACAGACTGTGTCCACTAAGGAAAAAAACCCAGCCGTATCAACAGATACTCTTAGAATAAGTCACACATTCTTTGCCTTCCAAATTGTTATGGTCCAATCAAATAAATGATTTTCAAGGAAATACAAAATCAACATATAAAAATAGCAGTGAAAAATAATAATCCAAAATAGCATTGAACATTGAATAACTTAGACAAACTAAGATACAGTATCTCTCAAATACTCGTATATACAACATATTCCAAGTGGTATATCCAGACTATTTTTAGTACAATTAAACCTTTAACATTTATTTTACAGGAAGACAAAAACTATAAAAGGAATTCTATTCCAAAGAGAAACCGAGTTCCAACTGTATAAAATTACATAGAATGAAGGACTTACCAGATTTCCTACTGTAAGCACAGTCTCAAAATGTGAAGTCATTGGATAATGTTCCATGGCCATAAATAGTGTGTTCAAAACTATGCAAACAGTGACAGCCAGATCAACAAATGGATCCATTACAATTAATTCAACTACACTCTTTACTTTTAACCAGGACTCGCAACACTCCCAAATTAAGAAAGTGTGGGCAAACTTATCCCAGCAAGGTGGACATTTTTGTCTTGATCCTTCAAGTTCTGGAGAAAAAGAGAACTTTATAGTGAACAAGTTTTGGAGAATGTAAAGGTAATTTTTTATCTGCTTTTTCAGGTTTTAATCTTTATACCTGGAACCACTAAGGATACTTGGAGGAACATCCTCAGATTTCCAGGATTAATATTTTTTGTGTTTCTGACACAAAAGGTTTTAGAATACTAAAAGAAACCTCAACTATTCTGAGCAAATAATGTAAAAACTTGTTTATTTTTAATAACATACGATCTTGTTTAAAAAACCACAAAAACCATACGAACTATGCTTAAGATTATGGATCTTTTTTTTCAGTAGAACTTTCAACTTCAAAGTTCTCTTAAATGTCTGAGTACTTATTTTCAGGAAAAAATAACATTAATTTTAGCCTTAAAAAGGTTTTGAAAATTATTCAAGTTTTTTCATTATTTTCACTAGTAGTCATTCCACTGTTTGAAGCCATCCTTGTACAAATTTTCTTCTCCTTATCAACTAAAGCCTGGCGTTGAATTGTCTCTAATATTTTTATGGTATGGTCAGTGGCAAATGTATCACAAGGCGTTTCTTCCAATAACTGCATTGCTAAGCTGAATTACTAGCATAAAACATATACATATTACCCATTTTAATTACAAAGAGTTTTTTACATCAGCCTGCTTATCAGATTCCTTCCTTTCTTTTTTCACTATGTACATGCTTTTTTTCCTGTTATTCAGTTTATGTATTTGCAATAGCTACATATTTTTTCTCTTCTGTATTTATATTGTGATATATATACCTTCAAACAAGTCTTAGACTATGTCAAGAAAGTTCAAGTGTCTACAGTTATAACACACCTTCCATTCTATTTGTGATAACATCAGCTAGACTCATGGCCCTTTCCCTTAAATCGGGGTCCTCCAGCAACTCCATTGGTATTTGATACGAACTTGTACGTCTGTTTTTTATTCCTATTTCTGTGGTAGTGCTCTATAAAAAAATATAAAAGGAAAAAAAAGTTTGTAAACTAAATTCAATTTTAGAAATACTGTGGTTTTTTTTAATTACTATTTTCATTATATACTCCCTAATACAATTAATACTTCTAAAACATTAAGAAAAACATTTGGATATTTAGTTCCCATACTTCTACAGCATTATACTCAAATAACATTACTCCACTTTAGACACCAATCAATTTTGGAGGGGGCTACAGCCAAGCAAACAAAGCAAGACTTGCAGAACTTATGTAAAAACAATTCCCAGTTCCATACTTGCTCTACCAATATTTCCATTCTAAACTAGTTTATTCACAAGATACTTCTAACAAGCAATTAATGCTAAGGAGATTATGCAGCAACTATTCCATAAAATAAAGTTTTAAAGATCAATTTTAATCTCTATATCCATTCAAAGCTTATTTAAATTATTTTTTCTAAATTGAATCATTATCAACTCTGATTTATTTTATGAATTTCAAGTGAAGAAACAGCATAAGTCTGACTTAATTGATCCCAAAAATACTTGTTTTACATTATTTTATTTTTAAAAATGAAAGCTATGTTATAACTATAGTAATGAGCACATCTCAGTTATGAAGAATTTTTGAATGCATAAGGATGGGCAGACTTTTTTTTCGTCCATTAAATAAATGCATGACAATAAACGTATAATAAACTGCAAGAAGACTGTAACTGCAAGGCATCTGGCTGATAACTGCAAGGAAGCTGGCTGATGTACTTTCAGGTGCTATGACCCATAAAGAAATTTCTGTTTCAGTAAAATAACATTTTTAGGAAAAAACATGCAGATGTCGCTTCTCCATTCCCAAAGCAGACTGAGGGAAAAGGAAAAACCAAGCAGAATTAAAATGTTTTATTGGTTTGGGGGTTTTTTTGTTGTTTTGGATTTTTTTTAAATATACCCTGATCCTAGGCAGTGAGCAACTCAGATAGTCTTTGAAACTCAGGAGTTAAAAATGCTTTCAGGACTTTTAAAATATCAACATAATCTTTATGACTATGCTATATTTGCACAATACCAAATGTATGAACACATGCATATTACTGACAGAGAATCAGAAAACACACTTAAAAGGAGGCTAAAACCATAAACAAAAAAAGAATTTATATAATCTAATAATGTACAGGAAGCTTAGAGTTGGACATCCTATTGTGCGCTCTAAAACAGATTTAGCAATGGAACATTACTAATCTGATTCATTAAGCAGACGTACACATATCTTTTCTTTGCAGGTATGTAAAAACTTACTACTTTGTTGTCTTTCATGCTTCAGCCTCTCACTTTTGACTGAATTACTTCAAAACCATTTCATTACAGTAAGATCTGCAAAAGCATTCACAACTTCCTCCATTTTCAAAGCAATAATTTCATTGAAACATTGTCCATGCAATAAAGAAAGGCCATGAAACCTGGAGTAATTTTAAACTTCTTACATTGCCATCAGTCGTTAGTTTATCTATTATCACCTCTGGCAGAAGTTGTCCAGTAGGAGACAACAGACCTGGTGGTCCATCCACCAAGGACACCACTCCATTGCAATCCACAGTGCTGTGCATCTTCCCATTCACTGGGAAGACAGTCAGCCTTCTGGATGACCTACTGGACTGGCTGATGTTACTACTGCGCCGTTCTCCGTGCCTGCGCGGCAGAAACACAGAACCTCTTCTGCTCGAATTGTCCTCAAACATGCTGTGCTCATCATCAGCAAAGTCATTTTCTGATCCCCTCTCTCTTCTGTCACCTCTAAAACTGAAAAGACTTGTTCTGCTACTAGGCCTGGGAGAAAACAGGGAGCCATGAACACTCAGCAAAGACTGCAAAGGAAACATAAAAAATGACGGTCTGAAGATTGTAAGTATCCAAAATGCATGTCTGTATACAACAATAATTTATATTCCCCAGGAATTTGCCAGTGTTATCTTTAATACACTGCCTCAGGCTGATCTCAAAGATGCATTACAGATGAAAGTCAACTGAATGGGTAAATTTACAGTGTACCTAAAACAATGACTGAAGAGAAAAAAGTAACATGTATACAGCCACAGTTGTTTCATGCTCTGCTTTAAAGAGAAAAACGAAGATTTACATAAACTCCAATGATCCACAAAGATCATGCATTACATTAAAAGATATCAATACCTTTAATCTTCTAAAATCATACATTATACTTAAATTTTTCTTTTACGAATTAAGAAGGCATTTCTATCTCAGATTAACTAGGAAAATGCAATGCTGCTATACATGTTAAGGTCCTAAATAATAAAATGAGAGACAACAAAACACTTTTTTAAGGTACACTCAAGAAAATAATACCAACTGCAAGTCGGTATTTAAGAGAATGCTACATTATTTTTCCTTTGTTGTCTTACATTGCAAAGTTGCAGTGAAGTTTGTTGTATATGACAGTAATATCACCAATTCCAAAAATTATAATTGCATTACTCACAGTACCTGGTGGGGTGATGTAAATGGCTTCCCGTAAGTTAGTCTGTTCCCATCAAAAGAAAGACGGAAACCTTTCCTTTTGATACTGCCATCTGATTCAGATTTTGGAAGCTTTTCATCCTTGATGTCATCCTCTTCTCCAGAGAGCTCTCTCTGCCTCCTTTTCTTCCTTCTATTTCTCCTTTCTTTGGCACTTTTTGAGCTAAGCTTGGATGCATCTGAAGAACTATCTGAGGGTGCAGCATTCCCACTTTCACAGCTGTACTCAGTCATCTCTGTTGCAGCTGCTGCTATTGCCTGCCACAGCAATTATTTAACAAGATGCTTTATAAATCACACTATTTTAAAAGAAGGATATAGCCCTTGTTCTTAAGATTTGTATCAAATTACTTCTAGTAAACAGTGTAGCCGGATTTGTGCAAAGCTACAAATGAAATTCGGTAGTACAAATGGAATTTGAATGGAGTTCTACTTAGCATCCGTGTCATGTAGTCAGCCCGCATCATCTACCGCCACAACGTTCATTAGAAAATATTTGAAAATTATTAAATTTATTAATTAGAGTGAGTGCCACAGCAAACAAAAGAGTTAAACTGAGTCACACTTCAGTCTGTATTAATTCAGTAAACTAATCCTAACTTTTATTGTAAGTAGCTTCCTTAAGCTGCTTCCAGTCTTTGATTTGCTAGTAGCAGCACAAGTAGCAAGAATGAATAAAAAATTTATAGATTAAAATATTTTACACTCTAATCAAGGCTTGAAAAGTATTAAAATTATTTCTAAGATGAGAATTTGGAAAATTATCATGACAGTTTACTAGCTACTACCCCAAGATAAGAGAGATTTATTTAAAAATATTATTCTTATTTGGATGCTATTTTTGCTCTCAGTTCAGAAATTAATTAACACTTTAGATATTATATATTATAAAAGCAATAAAGTGGCATAGAAAAAGCAGTCTAAAGTATTTGCAAGGTATGTTAAAGAACAGATTTTTAATATGTAAACTTAATTATTTGTTTTGTTTTAATAAATAGCATGCAAAGGAACACACTAAGACCCAGATTCTTGATGGAAAATACCTGAGCTTCTTCTTGCTGCCTCCGCAGTTGTTCAAGCTTCAGTTTAAAATCTGCCTCCCTCTGCTCTGCCTCAACAATAGTTGCTTGATTTTGTTCTTCATAGGCCATGGCAACCACAGCCAAAATCAAGTTAATCAAATAGAAGGAACCCAGAAAAATCACCACAACAAAAAATATCATGTATGATTTGCCAACAGCTCGTAGTGTCTATAGGAGGAGAAGAGAAATTAACCAGCTGGTGAAGAAATGCATCAGTCCTGCAGTTCATAAGCATTAATGACTGAAAAGTGCAAAACTTAGTTGGTGTTCCTTCTGCAGTAAAATCATACAAGTTTTCTGAATTACAAAGTAATCAAAATAAAGGGAGCATTCTTGTATCTGGAAAACATGCCTAAGGATCGTGCTGCTTTGTGACAAACCTCTTTCAATGCCTAATAATCTTGGGAAGTATGTGGGATCAGAGTTCTTAATGTAAGTCACATATCACAGGCTGGAGGCATAGAATGCTTACCATGTATTAGCATGCTTTCCCTTTGAAATAACCAAATCAATTAAAAATGGCACAATTGACTAGATAATTAGAAGACAGTATTTATTACAATTAACACATCTGCACACACCATATAATGAAAAGCTACTGTAAGAAAGTTAATTTGTAAGTTATAAAAGATACAGGGTACTGAAATTAAGGTTCAGGTTTTGCTATCATGAATTCTTTTTACAATTTAAACTCAATATTGACATTTTTGAAAATATCATGAGGCACCAAATGAAACGTACACTGTAAAACTTAAATTAAGGACCAAAAAACCCCTCATGTGACTCCTCAGAAATCATGAGATTCTGTATCAAGTGTCCATGTCTGCTTAGTTTTGCAAGTGAATTTGCTTCCTTTGATAAATTGTAATGGCTAATAATAGCAATGGTATGTAATATAACTAAGAATGGCCCTTCCATGATTGATTTGGGGCCAGTAATACACTAACCAGCTTTTAGAATATACTCACCAACTGATAAAGATTTTCCCAATAGTCCTGTGTCATCAGTCGAAACAGTGACAAGAAAGCCCAACTGAATGTGTCAAAGCTAGTATATCCATAGTTGGGGTTTTTCCCAGCTTTCACACAGATAAACTCTTCTGGGCATTTACTAGAAGAGGGGGAAAAAAAAATAAAAAGAGGCAAAACAATCCATACACAAATTTCATACAACTTTTTAAAGTACTGTTTCTTTAGCTTCTTATGAAGCTTCATCTGTGGAGGGTGCTGCTATTTATGGCTTAAAACAATTCAAAGACTAGTGGGGAAATTAAAAGTCTGCTCTTTAAAGAATAATCCAGAGCGAGCAAATAAGGAATGACAGCGTTTCCTTCTATCGCCTTTCACAATTTTAAACAAAATAAAGTATATTATCAACAGTTTGATATTACCTCTGCAAATATCTCTTCAATGAAAATAATACATGTACTTAACACAGAGATTTCAATAGGTGGATACTTCCATGCAGGTGAAAGATAGTCAGCACACATATTTTATGCTGAACTTTGTCTGTCAGTGAGGTTGGCATACCAGATTTCTTGGCTTCTTCATGTTTGTGAGCCTAATTGAAAAATTCTACCAATTTGTCAAGACCAAATAACCAGCACAGGGATACTTCCATCTCATGAATTTTTCCATATTGGTTTTGAGAGTAGGTGATGCAATCTTGATATCAAATGTAAGCACACTGTTTCAATTAGGACAGAAGAGGCTCTTGTCCCCAAAACTTCTATAACAAACACTATGAAGATTTCTCCTCAGGTATGTCTGCCTGTTTGATGTGCATTTATACACGTACACAAAATTATCTCATAGTTACATATATAAGTTAAGTGTTTACAAAAATAGTTTGTGTGTTTTAAAGCTATTACCAACCAAAACCAAGGGATGGACTGATAATTCATAAGCATATAGAATTATATTATATGGTTATTATATAATTGCTATTTTAGGGTTGAGAAATGGCAGGAAACCCATGGCAAACAATGTTCTTAAGTCACTGATATCACAAGGTCGACCTGCTAAGTGGAATTTTCTAGTTACGTATGAGCTTTTAAAACAAATTTCCAGCAAAGTATTTTGTCATTTAACATTTTCACTCACTGAAGTGTCTAGCTACTAGGAACTGTGACCATATTATTATTACCTGTGACATTAGGTAACTAAATTATCTTTTTAAAGTTTAGATTGATATTTTTTACATGTTGTTTAGACAGATAGTGTGTAATTTTCAGTGTACCTTACCCTGCATCTGAGCTATTGCCACAAAGCAGAAAATCCTTTGCTCCTTCTGGGCGATAGAAATGACCTTAAAAAAAAAAAAAAAAAAAAAAAAAAAAAAAAAAGAAGTAACATGTTTACAAATGAAAGGAGTTTTTTGGGGGGTTTTTTGTGAGGATGAACCTATGTTCAAGTCATCAGGTTTTGAATGTTCATAATCTCCCATTAATGTTTTCCCAACAGTGGGTTCAAATACTGGCAGAATCACAGAATTGCTCGGATTGGAAGTGACCTCAAAGATCTCTTTCCAAAACACCTGTCACAGGCAGGAATGCCACTTAACAGATCAGGGCCCCATGCAACTCAGCCTTGAACACTCCCAGCGATGGGGCATCCACAGCTTCTCTGGGCAACAAAATAAAAACACATTGCAAAAATAAAATCCTAGGACAACGATTAGAACATAAATTGCATATTCTTTTCTTGAGTCACTGCCCACTGAATAGCCTTCCAGGATAGGTAAGAGATATAAAATACAAAACTTAAAACTCCTCTTATTCAGTAATTAGATTGCAATCAGACAAAGTCTGTCTCCTTTAAAATGGAACATTTATAAAGGCTTTCTGGCAGTTTTGCAGTCAGAACAACATTAACTAGCACATCCCAGGAAAATATGAAGGCAGCATTAAAAAGAAGACAGGTGCTCCAATTACAATGTTCTAACAGCTGCTGTACTATAAACAACTTTACAGAATTTTCCTTTTAATTATAAGGTGGTAGCCTTCAGAAAAAGAGTAATACATATTGTTATTAATGATTAACAATTGTGCTGTCCTTAAAATAAAAGAAAAAAAGAAGAATAATACAGTTAGAAAGCTGATAATGAATTAGGGAAGGATATAGAAGGTGGACCCATTTAGTGGGACCGAGGCAAACTGGAGAAACAGGCTGACAGAAGACACAAAATTCAGCAAAGACAAATGCAGCTGTGTAACTGGGAGGTAAGAACCCCTTGCAGTGATACAGGCTGGGAAGTGACTGGCTGACAACAGCTGTGCAGAAAATGCACTGGGGGTTTTGCAGGACAGAGAGCCAGGAGAGGCTGAGTCAGCAGTGTGCTCTGACACCCAAGAAGGCTAACAGCCTCCAGGGCTGCAGGAACACGAGGCCAGCTCAGAGGGCAAGGGAAATGACAGCCCCACTCAGCTCTGCACTCATCAGACCATAGCCAGAGTATTGTGTCCAGGTTTGGCAGCTCAGTGCAAGCAGACATGGAAAAAATGGAGCACAGGGTCACCAAGGTCATGAGGAGGCTGGAGTATCCACCATGCGCCGAGAGGAACCTGTGCGTGTTCAGCCCAGCAAAGGGAAGCCTTTGGGGGGAGTTGGTAGAAAGCACCCAGTAACAACAAGGAAGTTATCAAGGGGACAGAGACAGGTTCTTCTCAATTGTGCATGGCAGAAGAATGATTGATAATGGGCACAATTACAAACAAGAGAGGTTCTGACTAGGTATAAGGAGATACTTTTTACCATGACGATAGCCAGGCACTGAGATCTGGAAAAGAGACAGAAATGTGGAAAACCACTCAACTAAATCAACCTGCTGTCATTCTCAGCTGATGATCTCAATGCACCTTTCAAGCTGACAAAGGTCTTGGTTTTCATAGGGTAAAAAACCTACGGTATTTAAATAGTCAGAAACAGCCCATAATATATGAATATAGGACGATTAATAATATTTGAATATAGGAGGAAACATTTAAATATCGTGATGAATATGGTTTTGAACCTACCATTCAAAACCAATACTTATAAAGCACAGCTGACACTGCATTATACAAATGGTTAAGAATAGATATATGAGAAAGGAGGAATACAAACCCAACCAGACCAAACAGCCTTGCCTGCATCAGCACTCTGTAGACGCCCAGCAAGGAGAAAACAGAAAGCAACTGACATTCTGGAATTTTTTTTTTCTTTTAGATTGCCATCTAGTGCAAACTGGAAATAGAGAATCTACGTAGTGTATAACCTGTATCTGAAGTGAGAATTCACAAATGTTTTGCAGCGTCTTCAAACAGCCGAAATTGCCCAAAAAGCAATATCACCACTCAATTTCCCCTCCATCCCTTCTCAGGTAAATAAACTAGCTAAAATGAGAGATTTCACAGAAAACATAAAATATAAACATAGCCATAGAACTTAAACAATACAGAACTACAGAAAGATAACCCCAAAATGCAGAAAAAAGCAGACACCTTTAATGACCAATGTTAAAAATGGGAGAAAATCTGGTTCCTCAAAACTCAGCCTATAACAATTCTATTTTCCTTTACTTTTTCTGAGCGTCACTGAGGAAGAAAGCTAGCATCCATTATCCTATAAATTTGTTTTTACTTACATACACTATTTTTACAATTTATCACTAAGCAATGACCTGTAAATCCATTTGTAGTATAAACCCACACAGGAAAACTATTTTTTGATAATTAGAGAAGTTATTATACTACATAGTTCACTGTGTACTATAACGTTATTGATGCTATCACTTAAAAGGACAGAAATACAAAGCATAAGCATCTACATGTTTCTCAACCAGCCTGGACTTTATCTCTTCAGTCTACAGACTTTAAGCCTGCTGGAAAACATCTGGATAAAAATGTCTTTTCAGTCCCAAACAACAATTTTATCTCTTCAGTCTACAGACTTGGAAAACAGATGCTGGAAAACATCTGGATAAAAATGTCTTTTCAGTCCCAAACAACAAATCCTAAAGCTGAATACCATCTTCTACTACTAGAATCTCAGCCTGTCCGGAGAGTTATGTATCAGTGAAAGCAACTGGTTTGTTACCTCTACCAAATAATAAAAGCAACTCTTAAGTAGGCTCTCGTATTTATCTAGTGCTTGTCTATCTTTTTTCATACCCTAAAGATACAAGAAGAGAATAAAATAATTGGTTTTGTGAGGCCTTGAGAAGACCAGGGAGAGAGCAGGTAGGGGGGAAGGGATGCACAAAGGTCTTCACTCTACCTACAAGCACAGTATGAAAGACTGTAATGAAGATGGAGCCTGACTCATCTCAGAAGCACACTCCAAAAAGATAAGAGGCCACTAATAAAAGTTAGAGCATGGAAAATTCTGAAATGATATTCAAGAAAGTTTCTGTGAGACTGGTCAAATGCTGGCACACACTGCCCAGAAGAAGCTGTGGCATCTCAATCCTTAGAGATACTAAAAACTTGACTGGAACAAGGGATTGAGCAGTCTGTTCTAACTGGACCTGCAGCTGAGCAGCAGTTGGCCTGGACTGCGGAGATCCTGTCCAACCCACATGATTCCATGATTCTAAAACTAACCTAAGCCTCTACATAGATTTCTAAGTGCAGTTAATGGAAAGAGCAATCATGTCAGCATGAGTTTGGGATGCAATATACACAAATTCCTATTCTTTGCCATCCAATTTAACTGTTTTTTTTAATCTTTAGTCTGCAGTATAAAACAGTTATCTTGTGATTGTGTGTTGGTTTACATACAAATAAAATTTTAGCAAGTTACAACAGTATTTCTTACTTTCTTCCTTAATGTATGCTGCCCAGTCAAATTCTGTACCATTAAAGTATGGAACTATATGCTTTTCAAAGGCTGTTGAATTTTTTGATGGCCAGAACAGGCATTTATTCTTCAGGTTGCCCATGAACAGCTGCAGTCCTATCAGTGCAAATACACTCAGGCAAAACACAGTCAGGATCATCACGTCTGAGAGCTTCTTCACAGACTGAATCAGGGCTCCTACAATAGTCTTCAAGCCTGCAAAGAGAGGCAGATTTTTATTATAATATTAAATATTTAACTAAGCTAAGATGCAATCTAAACGTCTCCAACACACTACTAAATACCATGCACAGCTTCAAAAGAACAGTCTTAAAGCATTTTCCAAAGGAAAAGCTACCAATAATTTTCATCATTCCTGAAAAATAATTTGAAAATATGAAAGGGAATGGATGCCATACATTCCAAAGCACCTGCTCTTCAAATCAAGAGCTTTCAATTCATGCTCTCTATACAGGTACACAACATCTAAAGAAAATAGTTTATTTTATTTTCTTTTTGATGCCTCTTGCTCCAAACCTTTGCCAGTATTATATTACAATACACAACATTTTGTTCTATAACAGCAAACAAAGAGTGACCACAATTTTTATTTCAGTAGTAATTTTAATGTCTGCATTCTAATGCATCATCTCGTGTTAGAGGTGGGGTTTGGTGAAGATAGGCATCATAAGCTAATAACTACATCATGCAATTCCCATGCTACTCATCATTATCTCATTCATCTGTCAGAAATTCAACCTTTACAAAACTCTAAAATTTTCAATCCCAAATGTCTTTCATAAATATGCATATGTAACATTCACATTAGAAAGACTTAATTTTGATTCTTAATGTGGGAGAGAAAATTTGACACCATTAAATGAAGGAATATACAAGCTATGCAAATGAGTTCTTCATGCAATTGACTATTAAACTCTGAGGCTGACTGTTCTACAGAATTAGAAAAGAAAATGAAATTGAAATTAAGACAAAAACCTGGATGTTTCTGTTAAAAACATGAGTTCAACTTCTGTGCAGTTTCAGCCAGCCTCAGTGTTTAACCTCGCTCTCACCTGGAATGACTGATATTGTTTTCAAAGCTCGGAGAACTCTGAATGTTCTCAACGCTGAGACATTGCCCAGGTCCACAAACTCTGTCACATATCTGTAGTGAGGGATTCCACACACAAACACAACGACAGCACACACAAAATTAAACAGGGGTGATGTAGAGTGTCTACTATTTTACACAGTTACTTCTTACCTGGAATTACAGAAATAGTTTTCAAAGCTCTCAATACTCTGAAAGTTCGAAGAGCTGAAACATTGCCTAGGTTTACAAATTCTGTTACATACCTGTAGGATTAAATCACAGTTATTCAGAATTGAGGCAGAGCTTATACTACTTACCTGAACCTGCATCCAGAAATCCTGTTTGTTTTGGGGTTTGGTTTTTTTTGGCTTTTTTTAAGGAGTAAGTTAAATTTAAAGACTTGCATTCATATTTTCCTGTCTCAATTAAGTTTTCCCTAAGAAATTCACCCTTAAGATTTACCATTAACTGCAAATTTAAAATGAATTTTAAAAATTTTGTTTTTAAAATCCTATTTCAAACTGATTGTTAGTGGTATCGTCTGTATTGTAGAACAGTACACTAATTTTGCTATGTGCTACATTAGTGTAAAATATTCTAATGGAAAAACACAAGCACAATTCAGCTACAATTAATTTCATATGAACTAATATAAGCCAAACAAACTATTACAGGTTCAAACATTTCTCATCTTACTTTAAAAAATATTATACACTTACGCAAAGGAAATGACAACAAAATCAAGCCAGTTCCAGGGGTCACGAAGGCACGTAAAAGCATTTATACAGAAGCCTCTTGCAAAGACTTTTACTAGAAATTCAAAAGTATAAATTCCAGTGAAAGTGTACCTATGAGAAGACATTCAAACCAAAGTTAAAGATTGCTGTGTTGTTCAGTGATACATCATGAGAATACAGGAAAATAACTCAAACCCAGTAATTAGTACATGCACTGAACAGCAATTATAAACTCACATCAAGTATGGCTGGTTTTCCACCATTCTTTTGTGAGATAATAGGATTATACTTTTTCATTTTGTCTGAAAAATATTTTTGCAGTTTCTAGCACATAAGATTTTTAAATTTCAGAACTAATAATGATAATCTTGAATAACAGGGAAAATAAATTTTTGTTCAAATAACATTTGAACATGGTTGCCACATCAGGAATCAATTCCATGGGTTAGGTAAAACCTAGTATTTATGGAAGGTACTTGACGGTTGACCAGGTAGACTTAAGAATGACAAACAATAATCCTCAGCAGATGTATTTTCTCTAAAGAGTGGGTGTGTCCCATAATTAGATTTTTGCTTCACAAAACAAAGGTGTTTCAAAGGGGCTATAGAAAGCATCTTCCACACTGAAAACCAGTAGTTTTGCGTGGAATGACCTATTTTTTTTTTTTCTTTTTTTTTTTAAATGATAAAGAACAGCTCAGGAAGGAAAACACACGAAAACACTGTTTGTATGAACATTTGGAGGAAATGTATTTATCAGCATTTTGTTCAGAGAAAAAGGTTAACAATGTCACAGCTTTCCTTCACAGAGCTTGCAGGACTGTGCTGCTTTGGGTTGCAGCTACAATCAAACCCCAAGCAGGAAAAAGGAGAATACTGGCGTTACACAAGTAAGTAAAACTGCATGGTCTAGCTCTTAATTTGCTTTTCATTTGTAAAGCATTTTAAAAATTATTAGCCTATTTAAGTATACTTACTCTACATCCTTTGCCCATTCTGGAAGATTCCTCCATGTCATAAACACACAATTTGCCAAAATAGTGAGCATAATGATCTTGTTGAACAATGTGGACTGTGGTTAAGGAACATACCCCTTTATAAGCCAAATTTGCATAACACAAAATATGAGGAATTGACCAGGACATAGAGTACTGACAACATACACAATACAAATCAGTTTACTATCACTAGCAATGTCATAAATAATGCAAAGAATAATTTAGGTTGGAAAAGACTGCTGAGGTCACCAAATCCAACTCTTGACACTTTACTTGTCAACTAGACCATGGCACTATGTGCCACATCCAGCCATTTCCTCCAGGGATATTGACTCTACCACTTCCCTGGGAAGTCCATTCCAATGCCTGACAACATTTTTGTGAAGAAATTCCTCCTGATGTCCAAACTGAACTTCCCCAGGTGCAGTTTGAGGACATTTCCTCTTGCCCTTTCACTGGTTACCTGGGAGAAGAGGCTGCCCCCAACCTGGCTACACCCTCCTTCCCTCAGCTGCTCCTCACAGGACTCACTCTCTAGACCTTTCACCAGCTTTGCTGGCCCTCTCTGGACCTGTTCCAGCACCTCAATGTCCTTTCTGAACTGAGATGCCCAGAACTGGACACAGCACCCAAGGTGTGACCTCACCAGTGCCCAGTACAGGGGGACAGCCATTGTCCTGGCCTTGTTGGCCACACTATTCCCAATACAGTCCAGGATTGCCCCAGCTTTCTTGGCCACCTGGGCATGCAATGGCTCATGTTCAGCTGCTGTCTACCAGCACCCCCCAGCCCTTTCCCACTGGGCCATTTTCCAGCCACTCTGCCCCCAGCCTGCAGCACTGCATGGGGCTGTTGTGGCCAATCTGTAGGACCCTGCACTTGGTCATGTTGAACCTCATGCTCTTGGTCTGGCCCATGGCTCCAGCCTGTCCAGGTCCCTCCACAGGACCTTCCTGCCCTCCAGCAGATTGACACTCCCACACAACTTGGTGATACCCACAAACTTACCAAGGGTATGCTCACTCCCTTCATCCAGATCCATAAAGATTTTAGACAGGGTTGGGTTCAATACTGCACCTTAGGGAACCCTACTAATGACTTCTCTTCTTCTGAATTTACTCAGCAGGTTAAGTGACTAATCTTAGCTCAGAATGTCGTTGAAAGAATTAAAGGCAGGAATACATTCAAACACTAAATCACAACTCCTAGTGTTAACATTAGTAATATTAATCAGTAACCATTTTTAACAAACCACTTGAAAAGGATATGAATGAACCAAAATTTTAATAGCTAGTCTTCTAGTGATATTGAAAGGAGATAAAAGGTACAACGCAGGTGTGGCACTGAACCTGTGGATTGTCTTCGCTTTATCCAGTACTATAAATGTCTTTAAAAAACACACAAAAAGGGCATGGGGGTAGCGGGGTTAGGAAATGAAGGATACATTTTGGCAAGCTTGACATAATACAGGCTGCTTACACACATCTAAGTAGCCAAATTTATTTTCAGTAGAATTGTGGAAGAAAATAACAGATTCTAAATTTTCATATGAGCAAAGAAAATGCTACACCACACATTCTTTGCCTCTTAAAAATCTGCATTTCAGATTTTCTAGGATTAAGTAATTACATTAAAACTATAATTAAAACATAACTTTTTACATTTACATTTAATGCAGCTCTTTTACTTGCATTTCAGAACAAAGTTGGCAATGCAAAACAAAGCACCTAAGTAACCATTTTTGGGACGTCACAAGGAACTATTTAACCATTTCAGCACATTAAAACTGCTTATGGGGTTAGACATCCTTGACTTTTAAAATCCTTGGCTTTACTGCCTTTATTGCTTGTGCAGCTGTCACTAGCACCATCAATGTAACCATTTTTAATTAAAAATAGGAGACACAATGAAAATATCATCTAATGAAATCTTAATTCAATCTACATTTAAAGATTATTCTCCCAAAATCTCATATGTGGAAAAAAAGCAGGCTACAACACTGACTATTTCTGTTTTCCAATGACATTTTACTATAAAAGAAATAGGTCATTTGCAAATAGTGTTTGTGAAGTTAAGAGAATAAAAACTGAAACAACTAAAAAATCTGCATGATTATTAGTCTTCAACATTTTATACTAGAAAAAAACCTGCTTTAATTAGGTTGCTTATTACTGATATAATACAGCTCTTTGGTTAAATTCTTATCTTGCAAGACACTATTTTGTTGATTATTCAGTACTTAATTTCAAAAACCTGTTCTACGGTTTTAATTCAACAAGCCTTTTATTGATTACACAATAAAATAACCACTTGCTGCTTATTTTGTACTGCCTTTTTACTGTAAACAGTTTTGTTTCCCTTCTTCACATCATTTCACTTCACATGCATCTATAAAAATAACTTTCCTTCCTCTGTACTTGCCAAAATAAACACCTTGCTCTTCTCTTCCTTTTTTTATCAGTATATCTATAAAGTAAACTGAATCAGTATATATCAATTTAGATTTTGTCTTCAGGTCTATATTGGGCCTATAACATTTACCCAATACCAGAACACAAATACTGGTTTATTCTTTACATTTTTTTAGTTGTGTAAAACAAATATTTTTATTATATTTTCAGGAATATTTGACAGTGATTGCTCTGTCATATGACTGAGCGACCATTTTGTCTAAAGACGTCTAAAATGAACTATATCTCAGGTATCATGTTTTTTACAAAAACTCAGAGAGCAGCCAGAGAGATGGAAAGCTTTCAAATGGCTCAGCATTAAATCAGATCTGAAGAGATTACAGGACATTCAATGCAAAATCCATTAACTAAGATATCATAACATGAGACATTAAAAGACAAGTGGGGTTTTTTTTCCCCTTTTTTTTTTTTTAAAAAAGGCAACTTCAGCAAGAGTTACAGTTGTCTTTACAGTGAAATCAAAATAACTAACATGATAGCACCTACTGCATAATACTTTCAACTAGTGCTTCTGACCAACTTCCCAGCAGAGCATTTATCAGGTTATAGTAAAACAGGAGTGCTCTAATGACATTCTTAATACAAAAAACTTACTTTTTTATTGATGTAATATGGGTCCAGGTCCTCCAGGGGTTCAGACACCATTCCTGGAGGAATATCACCATAAACAAATGGCAGTGTCTTTCCTGCCTCTAAGTCATTATTTGGCTCTGGGTGATTTGCTTCATGACCAGCATCATCCGTAGGCTCGTCTTGGTGACAATGAAATTTTTCATCAGCAATACGTTTCTCAATAGCTGCAAGAGATTCCTCAGTGAAATAGAAGAAGCTGTCAGGTCCTGGTGGTACCAGCATTGCCTGTGCCATCTTTTCATTCTGCAAATTTTAAATGCTTTTGGGCTCTTGTGTAAGAAGATCCTAGGAGAGCATGTAGGAAAAAGAAAGAAGAAAAAGAAAGAAGAAAAAGAAAGAAGGTCACACCACCAATAAAATCCTCAAATATAAGCTTTTGGCATAGTCAGAATCTGCCTCTTTTCTTTTTATAAAGCCCTGTAGCAAGAAATATTTCAATTAACAGTCAGATATTTAATAGAAAATTAGCTACTCATGGCAAAGAGGTAGAAGTTAAGAAGTACACAAAAAATTATAAAAGACAAAAGAGATCAAATTTTTTTACATTTTGTCAACTCAGATTAATACCTCACAACAAAAAAATAAAAAATATTCTAACTTTCCCTAGCCTAACATTAAGTTACCTTATTGTGAAACAGTAAAAAATGTTTCAGCACAGCTAAGTATGGCAGTCAATGGTCACAACCTCTACCATATAGATCTGTACATTTTTGACACACCACCTTAAAAAACCTTGTATTTATATTACAAAAGCAGAAAGAAAAAACATGCTATTTTTATTACTCTCAATTAATACAGCAACATTGCTCCATCTGGTGGCTTATACTATGACTGCCAAGCTAATGTTTATATTATACTATTAAGTACTAAACAAACACATTGTATCTATAAAGCCATATTCTCAGGCAGAAAGCAACCAGCCTGAAGTTCAGTCTTTCCCTTTTAGGCTTTCTGATTCATATCTACCTGATTTTCAATTGTAACTTTGATGGTGCTGTCCTGGTAATTAAGGAAGCTATGATGGATGAAGTGTTTTAGATTTATACAAAAAGCACGGAACCATCAAAATTACAGTACTCTCTTTGAGACCAAGGATATTTTCAAAATTCTTAAAAATAATACATTCATTAAATTCATTAATTGATCATTTATTTCTAGGTTATATTTTCTACAGTGAGTTAACACCTAAGGGTGCAGTATCTTCAGAATACACCAATTTTTTTGAACAGACACAAGATGGAATCCAGTCCCACTTGCTGACAGTCATCAAGTGTTGCAGCCCTTGTGAACACAACATTGTGGTGAGTTGACCTTGGCTGGCTGCTCTCCCACTCACGTTCCACAAAGGAAACTGCACAGGGGAGAATCAAGTGAAAGAGCCCAGGTATTAAAATAAAGACAAGCACATCATTTACAAATTACTGTCATGCGCAAAACAGACTCACTTTGGGAAAAATAACTTACTGCCAATTAAAAAAGAATTGGAAGGTAAAAAACATAAATCCTAGAAGAATTTTCCCTCTGCCTCTTTGTTCCAGTCTCAACTTCAATGTTTCACCCTCAAGTCCTACACCTCCTCCACCGACAAGAGACATGGGGAAGGCGGGGAATGGGGCTGGCATGAAATCATTGCAGTTCTTGGCCACTCCTTCCACCTGTTCCTCCCTTGCTCCAGCATGCATCCCTCAGGCAGGCTGTAAAGCCTCAGGATAAGATTGCTCCAAGTGTGGGCTTTGCAGTGCCTCTCCCTCAAGGAATATTCCCTTTCTCCAGGGGGTGCAGGTTGGGTATCTGCTCTGGCACTCTCCTCCATGGACTGCAGGGAAACACCTGCTTCAACACGGCCTGTCCCACAGGCTTCCAGGGAATTTCTGCTCCAGCACCTGCAGCCCTCCTTCCACTCCTGTTCTCCTGACCCTGGAGCTGTTTCTCACAGCCTCTCACAGAGCGCTCCCCACACTGACCTGTGGCGTTTTGCTCTTTTCCAGGCGCGTTTTCCCCGAGGCATTGCCATCCCGCCTGAGCTGGGCCCAGGCTGCCCTGGGCTCTCCACACAGAGCTGGCCTGGCAGGCCCCCGGCCCCCAAACACTGTCACCACTGCCCAGAGTCACCACAGGCCTCGCTGCCAACAGGAAAAAACTTAAAGCAGATTTAGGTGATGGCAAATGCTAAAGGCTCCTGCCACCACAAAAACCACAGAGTGAGCCAGTTCTCCTGACCCCAGTGTGTGCAGGGAGGATGCCCTGGGAAGGAAAAATACTGATGGCAGACTTTTTCATGAAGTGCAACAGCTCCAAAGTCAAACACACAGTAAACCCCAGGTAGCTGCCTCTTCTATGTCAACTTTTAGGTCAACTTAATGCTAGTTGAGGAAATTTTCTATTTTAACAATTTTACAGCAGGAACTACATTGCCATGAACAGACAACCAACCCATCATGCAAGCCACCTCTTCAAAATTAGTCAGTTGAGGTTGGACAGGCTTCAAATCCCTGCTTTTTCAGCTGAGCCACAACAGGTTCCATGTCTTTGGCACAGACCACAATAGGCACAAAAAGAGGAGAGGCTCTTTACACTGACTACTAAAGAGGTGAGAAATTTCCTAATAAATAATTATAGAAATCAGAAATTTTTCATGTCACCTGCTAAGCACTTTAAGAAAACACAAAGACTTTTTTCCTCTGGAAAAGAAAGCCTGAGAATGCCAAGTCTTTCCTTATTTAAAAATGCCTAATCTCATCTGCTCCATCTTAAAGCAATCCACCATTTTCAAGTGCAGGATTTAATTGTTGTTCAGCCTTTTGGGGCAAATCATTCTCAAATCCTTAGCACCAGTGAACCTGAAGGTTGGACCACTCGGACTGAGAACCAGCTGTGTCTCAAGAGGTACTTTTCCTTCAGAAGCTGAATGATATACATGGCTCTAAATAGCCAGGAAACCTCCACCAGCAAAAAGAGAGTGAGATCGGTCTTCCAAAGAACACCAGGATCTCTTTCCTTCAGCTTCATTTTCACCTAAGAGGTAAGGTAACACAAATATTACTTGGTACCTTTAGGTCATTTATTTAGCTTACAACTCTGGGTTTGGGGTTTTTTTTTAATAAAATGGAGGGGTAGGTATTATCTGCTTCTTATTTTGTAAGCTGAAAATTCAGAAAAATAATTTCCTTAGTGCAAGCAGCTGAGTCTGTATTTTTTTTTTTTTTTAAGTCAAGCAAAGTTTATACTAGTAGGGGCTTTCTTTCTCCAACAACAAGGTGGTAGCAGTATTAACTTAAGAAGTACGTTTTCCTAAAAAAAAAGGTCTGTAACATATAGGAATGACTTTTTATATACCAGCACTACATATATTGTAACAGATTCTGAGGACAGCACTTGTAATAAAATTTGTATTTCATGAATGATGCAGACAGTTAATGCCATTTTAAGTAGTCCACACACACTCAGTTATTATCTAAAATGGTTAGATGGTTGCAAAAAGTCTTTTAGAATCTGAAGAGACAAAAAAGCAAGATTTACAACTATTAGACCAACTTCTATATATCCAAACAGAACAGGAGCTGTACATATGGTTCTGCCCTGTCACAGGAATGTTGCTCTTTATAGCTCTTTACAGGCTGAATAAAAGACAAGCTTTTCAGCACAGCTACACACCACTGATGAGTCCACCATGCGTATGAACAAGTACACCTGGCAGTCTAAAAAATACTTAGGCAACTTTGTGTTTCAATTATTATCTTCAGAAACAAGCATGTCAGCAACAAAAACCAACCAAACAAAACAAAAGGGAGATACTGGATGAGAATGCAAAAATATACCATAACATTCAACTAGTCTTTTAGGGGATGTTCTCATTACTTGAAAAAGACTCAACAAAACTTCAAAAATAGTTTTGTAGCCAACATTATGCATACAAACTTGGAAAGTGACGAATGTGATGCCCAGAGAAACTACTTGTTTCCAAATGTACTTGAAAATGTCCCTGACTGTCATGTCCATATATGCATTTTGTCTAAATTTACTCTTTAAAGGTTTACAATGCATAAAACTAAAAGTTCATGACTGTTCATTTTACCAAATACCACTACAGCCTTGTGGCAGTTTTTCTGAGTTACTGCAGTTGTTATCAGAACAAAAGCCAATCTTTCCGCTTGCATGTTCATATTCCGCTGGTTTATTCAGCAAGGCTCAAGTGGGGCCCGTAGGGATGACATGAACTCCAGCATTTCTCTCTAGAGACACCTCAGCCAATGTCTGCAGCACAGTTCTCAGTGTTAACACAAAACAAAAAAAGTTATTTTCTACTACATGACAAATCTCTTCTGTGAATGCCGTATTCTAGCAGCCTAATCACAGCCCATGCTTGGAAAAAAACCCCACACCTATTAAATACTTATTGAGTTTCAGTTCAGTGACTGTTTCCTTTTCATGACTTTTTTAAAGTACTGCAAATATATAAATGTTGCAATATTGTGGAAGAAAGTGATGCTGCTTATACTGTCATCTCATGAAAATCATTTTATCCAAGAAAGAAATTTAATTTTAAAAAAGGAAAAAAAGATAAAGCAGGATGGATTGGTTTAATGACTTAAATGTGTCTCTTTCCTGCAATTTTGACAGCATTTGTATTACAAACTAAGGTAATAACAATCAAACCAGAAAACCATATTTAACGTGAATCCTGAAGAAACTGTTACCATTCCATCCAAAAAATCCCACAAAGGTCCTTGTCAAAGCTCAACATTAAAAACCCACCACCAGTAAAAAACAAAACCAAACACATAAATCCCCATTTTCTGAGCTTACTGTTAATAAACAGACTTCTTTCATGGCAACGTTGTGCATGTAAGCCTGACTGGAGACTCTGTCCATCAAGCAGGACAGAAAAATGAAAGATTACAGAAAACTGCTACATACCACAGACTCTGTAGCAGCACAGTACTAGGAGGAAACTCCTGGGCAGGAATGAGCCAGTTAACAACCTGATACGAATGTTAACATAAATATATTCTTATGGAGCATGGTTGAGTGAACAAGAATAACTTTTAAATGATCTTTTAGAAAATATTCTTAATACATATACAAAGAAAAGCATCAGGGTCATTTATATTAAGTTTGAGGTTTGAAGCTGAAGTCCACTGAGCTATGAAAAAAGCATGAATGTATAGTTTTTATTGTTTCCATATATCTATAAATAAATAAAAAATATATGTATTTGTTTCTGTATACTACTTTTAATATTTGCAAAAATAACGGTCAAGCAAAAATCAAACCAGTCAGCAACA